ATAATGACTTGAGTATTGAGTAATGAATGCTGCTAAAAAGATGCTATAATGTGCTGTATATGTTCTGTTGGGATTTCGTTTTGGCATGAAGTAATACGCAAATATCGAGGAAGTGAAAGAACGAAGGAAATCTATGATAGATGTGCATATTCTATATCTTGACACATCAATGGCAGTTGCTGATTACAATATGATATGATAATAATTATAACAATGATAATAAGGCAAATGATTAAATGATTGATTGCTGTTTCGTTTACATGAATGAGTGAGCCGAGAGAATGACACGATATTACATGTATATCTATGGCTAAGGGAAAAGCGATCTATCAAGGACATAAACCACAGCGGCATCAACAATACGATTAATACATTTTTAACGGGCGCTTATCCGCCCGGGCCCGAAGGTGATAACCAACCGATTTCAGAGGTCAATTGTTTCATAATTACGTGTTGTTTGGCAGTGCTTAGCCGAACGAACAGCCAGGTGAGAGATAGCTGTCGAGTTTTTTTTCCCTGTTAATTCATGATGATCCGTTTGAGAAGGAAATTGAGAAGTCGGCCAAAGGCACAACAATATAAAAACTGCAACACGAGAAGCAGGAGAATTACATGGGGGTAACAAGGAGCAATGATGAGAAACCTCGAAAACAAAATGGGGTATGTCTGCGTCAGCTTAGTTGGTGTGGATTTGTTACTCGATATATTCATATGGTAATAATGCTAAAAATAACACTAGTATATAGAACCAAACTGGGGGTTAGAGACCTGATGAAATGAGCCTAGCTGTCCGTGCAGAGGCGGCGGGAATGGCAAAACTAGAAGAAGCGGTTACCAAGTCGAAGTTCGTACATAAGCTCTTGCATGCTCTAGACATAGAATCAGTTTAAGAGTAAATTTGTGTACATTTATGGAGGTAAAAGACAAAGATTTTCAAAGAAGGTCGAAGGTTGTACCCATTCTCAGGAGCCGCGACGGAACGCAAATAAGCCAATAACATCGTCACGACTAAGCAGAATCATTTAGAAAGGAGCAAAAAAGAATGTGACAATGAAAAACTTCTGTACGAGGACGGAACTCGAAAACTGATCGCTGGCAGTAATGCAGCACACCCTTCTTGAATATAACACTAAAAATAATAACAATAATAGCAAGAAATACGAAAATGTTTAAAGTAATAAAATAATAATTATGATAATTGCAAAATGGGAATAGTAGTAATGGTATCGCTGGACGTAGCTATATATATATATATGATGAATTACCGAGCAATTCGAGTGCATGTAAGCACATACATAGGGCACGTATGTTCAATCATCAATGTAATAGCACTAGAAAAGTACACGATTTGAGGTGACGATTACGATGATCATAGCGACAAGGACGTCACAGCGGGAAAGGCCGAATAAAACTGATAGATGAGAAGACTATAAAAAATGTTGGGCGTGTTGGCTTTACAGTAGGTGTGAGGCGTAAGTTTCGCATATATTAAAAAGGGGCAGCGGAAAAGCTGAAGTCTTTAAAAATGAAATCTTCGTCCTGCCGTTTTTTGTTTAGTCGATTTATCCAGAAAGGACAGTAGAACAACGTGCGAGCAAAAAGCCTCGATGTCTCATCATTCTCATCAGTATCAGCGGCTCGTGCATAACAACACACATGTCGTTTTTGTTTTTTGTGTAGGAAGAATGATGGTAATAATTCTTACATAGCGAGAACACGACAGGCCATTTGATGAGGGTGAGGCAAATGATGCCGATATCAGCAAGAGGTTGCAGCTAGGAGATCCTCAGTGAACATTTGTGGTGTGTCGACAGAAAAAGAAAAAACAGAGAAAGGAACGTAGGAGAGAAAAAAAGAAATGGAGAGAAAGAGCTCAGAACGAAGATTCATTATTGCACATCCGTCAACACACACGGACGCGATGATCGTAATGCGACATTCTGTTTGACATATGAAGTGTACATTCAACAATGACAACAGCAGTAGTAACAATAACAAAAAAGCGAGTGTAATAGAGATAAATTAGCGAATATGTTTTATGTTCCGGGCTGTGAAAACGCTGGGCGGAAATGAAATTAGGTCGAGTTGGATTGAATAGGGTTTGTGGCCGACTCTTGGCCCTAATGAGTCAACGTAGTAAAAAAATATCCGACTGAGGCTCTGATCAGAGGCGACAGTAGCAACAGTCGCTGCGATGAGTTCGAGAAATGCGTAAGATGCAAGAGGCTGAGCTCCGTATGTTACATAATATTAGATACACTTGTATATCGTCGAAGAGATGTCTTGCAGTCCGTCGTGGGAGTATCAGTCTCCCTATTTGTTTTTCTCCTGTCGCAGTTTGAATAACGATAATAATTAAAATAATGCGATAATGATAACATTAGAATGGTGTTTTGGGTATTACGAATTGGACGCGTTTTGGGCGAAGGGGATGTAGGGTGTGAATAGGTGGCCAATCGCGCGCTCTATCGTAAAACAGGGACAACGATCGAGGACGAATTGTACGTCGCAAAGCACACCATCCCGCTAATTAAGAAACAACAAGACTATGGGAAAAGAAACGGGGCAAAAATTAAGAGCAAAAAAAAAGAATACATGACACAGAACAGAAGAAAAATGTTGAATCAAATTCGTCGTTACTTGTGTATTTGGCAAATACACGTTGAACGAAACCGTGGTACCTAGATATTGACGATGGTTAGGGTAATGTGAACGTATGCAGAGGTTAGGGGTTACCAAGGGGCGGGGAGATGGATGTGACAAGGGAGACAGACCAAAGCAGGCCCGCCACTGGAATTATTTATTTGTTGAGCAATGCCGACGACTGGTTGTACATACAGATGAACGAATAAACAGCAACAATACATTAGACATTATTCCTATACGCCTCTTTATTGATTGATTGATTGAGAGGTCCATTTATGCATGACGACCTAGGTGAAAGTTTCTCGTGACAAGTTGGTAACATTGTCTAGTCGAATAAATTGAAACATTTTCCTCTGTTATCTGCATGCATACTTTTAATACCATTGCTATACATATGCCATAAACTTTCCTGAGGTGTTTTCCTTTGAGAGAAACTAGGCCGAACTTAGCTATTTTCCGATGAAGCTGCTGAGTGTAAAGTATATTACTATTGGACCGACTGATGAATAAATTTTGTTGTAAATATTCATTGTACTAATGAATATTTACAACAAAATGAACTCACTCTCCACGCCTCCTCCACTTTGAAAGAAAACAAACTTATTAGAAATAAACGTTCGTTTAAAAAATGATGATTGGAAATAGAGAAGCAAAACGGCCTGTGCACGTTTCCTGTCTAAATAATAATTTTGCAATTCGCAAAGCAAAAGCCATACACTTTTTTTTTTATAATCAGGAAGTTTCACTTTACGCGTTCATCAAAAACTAATTTTCTGATTGCTCTTATATAAGATCCTTCTAAATCTACTGACATATACGTATATTCATTCTAAAGATACTGTGAATTCGTTTAATCCTTTGCCCTCACTTTACGTGGAAAAGTGTTCAGTGGGTGAATACGGTCGAATGCCGCGCTTCCAGACATAAAAACGGACGTACTGATCGGGCTTGTTGCTCTCTAGATTACCACAGTTCCACGGTTTATGGCCTGTACTGTTATGACACATAATTTTCTACAAAGGTTACTTAAATGCAATGAAAGTGTCTTCATGCATAGATGACTTATTCCTACAGACTGATACATGTCTTTGTACTAAATGCCATCAACCGCAGGGTGTAAGATCAATCTTTAGGTAAAACCCAATGAATAGGACGGTGATTCGTGTGTGGTGATGCATCGTGCAGAGGTAATGTAGCTTTGTCTACGCCTCTGAAGTAGAACTTGGCAACTGAAAGGTAGGTAGCTCAATGTGGTTTAGCAAAGGTTTGCAATCCAGATAGAAACACCTTCTTCATGGATGCTTAGCAGATGGCTAAAAAATGGTTATCAAATAAATGTTTTGAGGCCAAATAGAAAAGCTCAAAAAATGCCTTTGACTTTGATTGATCAGCCGTGTATAGGTTATAGGATTGATCAATGTGCTTTCGTTGTTTGCATTATGCGCCCTCTATTCCATAGTTTTGCGTCGCATTTATTTCATTTCTGATTTCAGTGAACATTTGCTTACAATAATAATTTTGTTTTGTCTTCAAGAAATTTGTTTCTTCGTTTGGAGCGTTTGGTTACATTTCAAACTGGCTCTCCTGTCAAGATCGCAAACAAAACAACATCGCCTTTAGTGCCACGAAACGTATTCATTTTTCACCCCGGTTAAAGAACACCTTATACTATATTGTCAACTGTCAGTATTACTACACCGTATAATTGAACACTTCAGCGTATTACTATGAACTCTTCTCGTTCGCGGAGCTCGTCTATTTAGCAACCTTGTAGCGTTTCACTTATGGTAGACACTTGATTAGTTACCTCGATTCTATATGAGCCCTACAGTAAAACAGACAAGTAACTTTTCAAGCTTTTTTCCACTTGCGTTATTATACCGCATGCAATTAGTAGTTACCTACAACTGACTGACGACTTTCCTCACCGTTTGATTTTAACTAGCTCAAATTGAGTTTAGTTCCTTGCGGTGTGCGTATACTGTTTAGACGTATTGTCAAATAATACAGAGTGAAAGAAACGTCTCTAAAAAATGAAAAAGAGTCTCTTGTGTCGTATTTCCACTCAAGCGCTCTTGAGACTTTTGTCTTACTCGGTATACTATTTACCCATATATACTGCGTGCAGTATTTAGGCTGGTTGAGTCAAGCGGCCACCTTCTGCGAGCAACGCTTTCAGAAACAAGTTAATATGGATAGCTTTCAAGTCGCGGCAACGATAACGGGCCTTGCTGCTGCGACGACTCGGAACAAGAGCTCTAACGGTGATCTAAAGATGTCTGAGTGAGCAGTTTTGCTGTACGACAGACTTTAGCAACCAGCCTCTGACTGTGCGCAGCCTTCTATTTGACAAGCTACTCGCTTACCCTATCCCTGTTCTTTACAGCTTGGATCTGTGTGTCATGGCATAGTCGTGTATCGTTTGAAGATACTGTTAAAAGTCAGGAGTGAAATGAAACGCGCGTCTAGAATATGGGTGAAAAGGAGATCGGATTTTAGCCGCAGCAACAACGAGTGGGATATTTTCTCTTAACTAGGGTAGTTTGTTTATGTAGTTTAGATCTGTGAGATAAGCTTAAATAACCCAAGTGTTTCTGTTTCGTGTGTATTTCTGTCTAGGTGGACAAGAATGATTTGCCTACCCAGTCGGATTGCGAATATAGTTTTCCTGTAAGAGATCGTATCCTGCAAGAATTGACTAAATGCTAATCTAATAGGTCTTTGAGATCTCTTAATGATCAGGCCTACATTAAAACGAGCTATTATCTCTTCATTGGTAAAAACAGTATGATTCAGTTCGCACGTGTATGAGATCCTCTTCTTGATCACTTCTATATGTGGCAATTGTATATTTTTTGTTATAAAGTTTTAACTGTTTATTATAGTGTCAGAGCAATGTTTAACTTAAGCTCGTTGAGAACAAGAAAAGAGCACTAAATTGGCCAGACTCTGGACACGCTTTCAGTGGAGACTCCACTCCACATAATTATCTGCTGTAAACTTGCTGGTTGCTTATGAGATAGTTAAGTCTTTATAAAGAACAAAAAAGAAACGATACTCTTATGGTCTACTTATGTTCATCGGTAGACTATGTTAGAAATTGAGATTTTCCGACTGTTCGGGTCTACTTAAAAGTTTTCCGACCTACGGTATCTATAGACCGAGTGAAAGTTGATTCTGGTCAATGGTAAGAGTACGAATGTATCACGGGATTGTAGCGGAGCCAAACAAAAATCATAGGCGAGCACGCGAATGCTCAGCGCTGGGTTGAAGCCAAGAAATTCTGAATGTGTGGCCGCGATCTCGAACTTAGCCTTACGCGATCCTCTACCAGCAACGACAGCTGACGGGCTGATGTATTACCAATACAGACGTTGTCCTGTTTTAACAACATCGAAAAACCCATGTAAAGCTCATTATTAATTGTATATAGTTCGTATACCTGTGCATGATTGTCTCAATTGAAAAGTCGATCCATGTAGTGTCACTGATGCTCAACACCCAGGAGCTACGTTGTTCGAATGCCCCCAAAGGACTTTCTATCAGACGTCTACAAAACATAAGGCTAACCCGAATAAGATGACTCCCTAAACAGTGCAACTTGCAACAATGTGACTTCCTTAATGATTTACCAAACAAGTTGAAAACTGTCTTACATTTTAAGCAAGTTTAGAAAGTAGTATTACGCTGACTATTTGTCGCATTAATAGCAAGCATGAAGCTTCGTTCAAACATGAACTAGTCCATGTAGAGTAATACGGCAAACCATAAATTTAGTATCTCTCAGCAATAGGTGGTTCTATCACCATGTAGCTCAGGACTGAGACAACAGTTGCGCGTCAAATAAATATGACGCGCCCCAGCAATCAAACTGTACCGCTCCTAGTCGCTTTCGTTTCTGCCTATCTCCAGTATGAAGCTAAGCAGCACTAATCACGTTAATTTCACCGCGGTATCAAGCCAGCACATATATAAATGGCTTGTGCCAGCTTCTTTTCCGCGTTTCTTTAAACTCTCCCTCCCTTCGGCTTTTTGTTCTTTGTTCTACTCTCGATTTTGGCGCTGTCGATTTTCGAAAACTATCAGGAACAGCCATCGACCACGAACTGACCAACGAAAATGCAGCGGCAAAAACTAGTTTTGCAGACGATTTAAGTCAGTCAAAACTATCAGTGTCCTTTCAGACATTGCCATCCGCCCGCAGCTTGACCTGGGTCGCTGACTTCGTCGCTAAGCTAACTCATAGCTGAAGGTTTGCGGATGTTTGCCCAACCGGTGGTAGTTGCATGCACGCCTGCTAGACTCGATCAAGAGCGCCAGCGGTCCTAAGGTAGCAGTCCGACCCTGGGGGCTCATTGGGTGCGCCGACAGAGAGGAAAGCGTCTTTCCTTCCAGAGGGTCGCTATGATCTACCGCTAAAAGCAAAACTCTAAACGATGCTATACGCTGTAAGGGTACAGACGTTCGCTAACCAGAGGCAAGGTTTAGAGCTAAGGTGAGACCTCCTCCTCTAACGAAGCCCCGGGCTCGGCGTTCTCCCAGTTGTGGGAACTCACCACACGGACACCACAGCTACTTCGCGAGCTGCACGGGAGACTGGGTCGACGTGGCAAGCCAGTAACTAACCACCTGGTGAAGTACGTAGTTTTTTTTGAGTTGCTTCCGTGAAAATCGAGTTAATTTTGGTACAAAATGAAGAAAATGCATAAAGATAGTGTTGGTTGTGATCGGCAAATGCGTTCATGTTCATCCTCAGAACACAAAATGTGTACCGGGATTTTAATCACCCAGTGCTAATGATATGTTTCGGAGAGTTTTGGAACAGCAAGTGGACATACAGACCTACATGTCAACCAAAGGGACCCTTGTTGAAACATCCATTATATTAAATGTGGCTTTCTGTGCAGTTTGTTTATGACGAATTAACAGCGATAAGTACCCCACGAAATAGGTGGAGCAGGAATAAACGCATAAAAAGTAATAATAATATTTTAGCGAAGTTAAGTAACGATTCTATATTAAGGAAAAGCGGAGCACTTATCTGACCACCGTCTGGCTTCAGTAAGATAGTTCTATTGATGAGTTTTTCACATAAAGATATTCGAACGGTATCGTGTCACCCGAACCCTTTCGGTTTGCCGTCGAGTCTGCGAGGATGATGACGACGACGACGATTTCCTGCTTGTTTTGAAGTGGTCGAACTCTGGTTAATCTTATACGGGTATCTACATTCATTAAGAATTGAACTGTTAGTAAAACAGCCGCAATGCGTCGCTAAGGCTGAATATATACTTAGGATGTAAATGTTTAAGATTTCTGGAGTGTTAGTGCTATCTTTTGCACCTTTTGTAGATACATTTTTGCGTTACTAGTTGTTGAGGGACCACATTTTCCAATTCTGATATGGCAAATCGTTTACTTCTACTTCATAAGTAGATTCTTTCATCGAAAGCGAGTACGAGATTGATCTTTTATAGATGGCGACAAAGATAGTGGAGTTAGATGTCGCTTAGTTGAATAGATGTGCTCTTCAGCCCGTAAATAGGCGACTTTTGTGTCGCATACGTTTGTCACGCTACATGCCTCAAAACGAATTGTCAACATCACTAATTTCGAATACACAAACTTGCCAGACGCTGCTAAGCCACTTTATCGGTCCGTTTCAAACTGCCTACAAGGTGATGCTGTTCGTCCTTAACTGTACACTACTTATTAATGCGCTGCGTCTCTGCTCTGCGTCACCGTCATTGACCAAGTACTTTCTTCTAGGCGCCGCAGAAGCAGTTAACAACAACAATAACAACTACAACAACAAGAGCAACAATAAGAGTCAGTAACCGTGGTCCCGTCCTTTCGATTGCATCCCATGCAACAGCGCGGGCGCCCAGTCAGGTAATTCAGTTGACTGTTGGCTGGTGGAGTAAAGCAGACCAGTGGCTGGTTTTGCCAGCCGCATTCCGGGCCAAGGTTGGATGAACGAAGCAAGCTGTTAGGCAAACAAGGCTGCCAACGCTCACGAGAGACGATGCTATAAGCAATAGCTGGCTTCGCTTTACGAACCTCTAGTAGTGGTCACCGCTAGCATCGCCGTTATGAAAGCCGACGTTAGCAAAACCTTGTGGGCGGTGAAAGAACTCCGAACGGGCACGATGAGGATACTCGGACGAGGTTGCTGTCTCGCAGCTGCATTCGGCGTTCGAGAGTCGGCGTTACTTAGGGCACAGGCAAGCATAGCTGGGCGTCCTCTCAGTTTCGTTTATCTGTACTTTCCTGTTTTCACATTCTGTGAGACACAAGCAAAGCTACAGCTACTGTGCGACTAGCAACCAATCTAGATGGTGCTGTTATAAATACAGATAATAACAAAGAAGTCGGCGTCAGACATTGACCGTACGATGATTTAACCACTCAGTCATTACGAGTTAACTACCAGCATTAGCATAGACCGGGACTGTGCCCTTACACTGGTCAGGTGATGTACAAATAGAGGGGTGACTATAATTTACTCGCGTAGCTGAAAATACTCAATTTAAAAGATTGCAGCTTTTTTTTCATTCGACTAAAAGTGCTTATGATCATTCATAGTTTTAAGAAGCCTTTCAAAGTTTATCTAAAACGTAGAATGTTTCAACGTTCATGTAAAATGTAAAATAACATGCATTGAAACATCTTCCATTGGATTCAGTCTGTGATACGCCCATTACATCTACCTGTCGCCACATACAGAACCGAGTTTCATTGAACATCTGTTGAACAGTAATAATCATAGATCTCCTGCTGAAAGGCTTTTCATTTAGAAACCTTTCGACAAAGTTAGAAAATCGTTATATCGGAAAGCCTGTGCCAAAACTCGTATCCCCGAATCGTGAGCAAACCCATTCTAAAAGAGACAAGAGAAATATTGTTGAAACGTTTAGAGTTTTACCTTCGCACTATTCTTCAGTAATACTTTAGCGCCTAGCTAAATTTAGATAATAGCTGTTATCTAGTTTTCGGAATTAATAAATACACAAATGTAGCCCACTAGACTAGCATATCTATATATATATATATATGTGATAGTCTAGTGGGAATCATCTAGCAAAAAAATCAGAAAGCGAAAACCTGAAACGCTTCGGTTTTCGCTTTCTGATTACCTTCCGTTAACTAATAATATCGGTTTGAATAATAGACGCAGATAGAGTTGCACGTTTTGGTCTTGGTCGATTTGCATTGCATCTAATTTCAATCCTATTCAGTTTGCCGTATTTTTCCACGCCTCTTTTTTAAGGTTATTTAAAAATCTGGTTTGCTGAGTGGCATTTCTGACAGCTCGAGAATGTCCAACGACTCCCCAGCTCCACCACCGCCGCCCCCGCCTCCACCCGGTTGGAAACCTAACTGGCGTGAAGAGCGCGGAAAGGATGAGGTGAGCACGATTAACACGAATGTTGAACGCTCAGCTCCTATTAAGATCCCTGGAATTGGCCCCGCTGCGGTAGCTGCCAACGCTTCTGCACCTCAGAGCCCGAAACCGACAAGCGGCTCAGGCCCCGACGGTTCATTCACACAGTATGATCGTCTTCCCGAGAAACTTCAGAGCACGTTGTCGAAAGACAAGAAACCGTTTACCTATACACCAGCTGGCATTGATCTTTCGGAAATTAAATCTCCAAACTTTCAGAAGAAGGTTAATCGAGCTAAGCAACAGGGAGAGTAAGTGCTAGATTAAAATTCGATTCAAGATTTATCGTTGTGATTGAGTAATACTATTATAAAAATCAGCGAATATAGTATATAATGAAGAGCAGGCAACCAGGTGATTGTTTCGGTAAGTTACGTTGTTACAAGCTGGTAAAGCGAGCTCATTTGCCTTCCAACAGGTTCAGCCCAGTCTGTGGCCCAGGCTCACCAGGTCTTAACGAATACGGACAACAACCTCCCCTTTGGCCTGAAGACATTCGTAAGTCGATGGCTTTAAGAGTTTTTCATATTAGCAACAGCCATAGCTGTATTCACCTGTTAAATCGATTTGACGCAGAAATAACACAAGACTCTTGGCTTATACATATCTAAGAATAAAATAAAATTACGTAGCTCTTAATATATGATAACGCATGATTTGTTGCAGAAGATATCAGCGAGTACTGCAACAACCCTGCCGAGCTCGATGAATCGATGACTAATCCCCGATATACAGGATCAAAGATCCCTTCACGTTCTTTCAAGGTCCTTCAAGCTATCACAGCGACGTCGGATGATGACTATGCGAGTTCCCCTGAGCCCACCCACAACAAGCCATTGGCTTCCAGCCCAAGATCCGCTCCACCCCCACCGCCAACTCCTGCATCACATGCACCAACTATTCCAGCAGTTCTGCCGGTTTCTTCATCATCTCCTTACGTCTCGACTCCTCCGTTGTTTAGTCCTAGTAGCTCGACAAGTTATCCTCCTTCGATGCCGCCCCCACCCTCAGCGCCTGCATCGTTTTCTCTTTATGGAGCCCCATCGTCAGGATCATTTTCCTCGATACCCCCACCTGTGCCTCCGCCACCGTCCGCCTATCTTCCATCTTCTTCGCCAACGTTTGCTTCATCGTCACAGCTGTACTCACAGCCAACACCCAACTACAAGAAAGTCCCGCCTCCCGTGCCACCAAAACCTCCGCGCGGAGTTTTCCGCGACGGGGGGGTAGCGTCTTCGCTCCCGTCGACACCCCTTGCGTCTTCGATGGCTCTTCCTCCGCCTTTCTCATTTAGTTCTCGGGCTCCTCAGGCACCTTCGGCGCCTCCGGTGCATCCGACAAAACCGCTGCCTTCGAACTCGTTTAGTAACGAATACCCGACGCAAAAACAGCCATTCTCTGAGCAGTTCTACCAGTCGACGGTGAACCCGGTTTTCAAAACGTACACGCCACCGCCATCGGTTAGACAGACGGTCCGTTGCGGACCCGGCTTTAAGGAGACTGCAACACATAAAACGGGATCAGGATTCGAAGAAACAACTACATACTCAAGCTACTCGTCACCTTCGTATAGTGATGGGACACGGACACTGCCACTGCGACGCGAGATAAAGAGCTCGACAAGCAAATCGTCATTCAAGTCGCGGCCCTATTACGAATCACCTTATCAGACGTTACTGGAGACCCCACAATTTCAGGATCCCTTCAAGTTTGGCGGTTTGACGCCGAGTTATACGAACTCATATGCTAATCAGCTCAGTGTCAATCAAGAGCGGTCTTCACCGTCGTTAGGGAACGAACCTGTCTTTGCCCCACTGCAGTCACCCCCGCCGCCGTTTCAACCTGGAATAAATCGGCAAAGCGCCACGACGAGCTCCTACGAACAAACGATTCGACAAACCACAACAAACCAAAGCGAAAGGCCATTGTCAATGACCTCGAGATTCTTCGACGAAATCAACCAGATGTTTGATCAAACATCCGCTAACATAAGTGAGCTTCTTAAGTAAATACTTGCTCATGCTATTCAGCCTACATGAAAACAACTGCATGTATATCTTGTTCATAAAATACGTTGTAGGATTCAGGCCGAATTCGGACGGCAGCGTTTGTTGAGATCCATTTCAAAAACCAGTGTACATTGTTTCCACAAGCTACAGAGTAGCTTTTCGTAATATCTTTAACTACATAGCTTCCATTTGAAATATTCCAGGTCGCGAAATGTACGGAACTGATTTCTAAAGGGACTTAACGAGGATACCATGGGAAGAACATCACTTTAGTCATTCCTCACTTCATCTTTACCTCATCCATTAGATCGTCATCATTGTAGTTACGTCACAAGAATTGAATGGGTCACGGTGAAAGGAACGACAGACGGCGGAAAAGATGATAATAAGTAGTCAGAAACACACACACACACCGACAAGTCATTAAGAACCGTATCTTCTTGTGAATAGTCTCCTACGAAAAGACGCAGATAAGGCATGTTGATCATTGGACCGCTTGCATCTCAGATTTAGCTTCCAGCAGAGATGGCCAGGAGATGAATTTCAGAGTTTTCCTCTTTTTGTAGGTCGAACATCCACTCACTTTTCTATTGCTCATCGCCAGCGAAAAAGGGCTATAAGTGGCTATAAGGACTTAATATTTAGCAAAAAAGAAACTTTAAGCTTAAACCGTTTCATTAGTTTATAAATACGCTCCATTTTGTCGCATATCGCCCGAAGATTTTCACCCAGCTTTTGTGTTGCGAGTGGGCCTTTGGGCTCAAGATGAACCGTCGTATATAGACGTAGCATTTGAGATAAAAGGACCCAGCTTAGAAAATCCATTTTGCCTAGAAGTCATCGGACTTTGCTTACACTATACATTCTTCGACACTGATTGGAAAGGGCTGCAGCTCGTATAATCACATAATTCTGCAGAATGCGCTCCGCTTCCTGGTGCCATTAATACCAACCATCCTTAACATTAATTAGCCGATCCGGACCGATTGATTCGAGGGCAGCTGGGCTAAAGTACAGTCTATATGAAACCTAATTATAAAATACAATAGTTAGGCTAATATATTTGTTTATTACAAGGTAAACGTTATTATACAGTTCAGTTGTTCATTTTGTTTTAACATGTTGGAAATAAAAATGAAGTCTTTATGAGAAAATTTAATGTACTTTATTTATGTTGAATACCCCTGACCTCCATGAATCTGAGAAACGATTATCTGTCTATTTGTACGACGAGCTCCTTTACTCAATTTATAAATATAGTTGATATTTACATGTATTAGGGTTGTATGTGTGTGCCGGCACGTTGACGGAATAGATCGCTGTTTGCTCCAGGGTCATTTCCATTGGCACATACATATCAGTATCTTGTATGTATGTCACGCATGCGAACTAGTCATTCCATTTTTCTACATAACACGCGTCTTGTTAATAATATCATAGACTGTACATGTTGGGCAGAATTGGGCTGGTATTAGCGTGGGACGCAGGGGTTAGAAAGTGTCATGATGCCATGGTTTCAAGAAATGGTTCTATGATACATCTTCGGTGTTTGCGTAACATCAATGCTTTAGTCAGACTCGAGTTGCCGGACCGAGCAAAGTACTTCAGGCGATAAAGCTTCATAGTTCAGTTGAAGCGATCGTTTTGGCTACAGCTTTCACGCCTTCGAAAAGTTCGATGGCTGTTGGCAAAATCTGGCTAGTTGGCAGAAGAAAACCATAGTCACCCTGGTCACACAACTCTGCTACGAACGCGTACTTAACCCCTTGGCTATGCACCCAGTCGTTCGACGTGCCCGATGCTGGATCTATAAAGAGCGGAATATTAATCGAACCGAAAAACACAGTACTATAATGAATAAGGATGCTCGAACATCATAATAACGGACAGTGCTTTATGCATATGCTTTTTTTCTCATGGGCTACGGACAGTAAGTATTTTTTAAGCATCAGTCCTGACATTTTTTCATGTAATTATAATGATTTTTTTTTCATTTATTGATTTCCATTTCGAAGCAAAAAAAAAATACATATGCATCTGCGGTTAGATAGACAAATTATTATTACAGATTCACGCAATAATAATTGTGATAAAAAAAAAAAAAGCTTTTCAGAAAGAAAATTTCATTTTCAGGAGAGAGTAAGACATGCAACATATACATCCCCACAATTTGGAGCACTTGAGCTTGATAATGATAGTCGTATTAATAATAGAAAACAATTAGAAATTTACTTACACAGCAGCTGTTTTGAACTGCCAACGCGATATATCTGACCGGACTTTTTGTAAATCGCATCTCGAAAAACCGAGCCAGCAGCCATGAGCTCATCATGTTGAGCACTCACGAGAAGCGGACCAGCTCCATAAGGCAACAGCAGATACTGACCAAACGAATGCAGACTCATATATAAGGAAAGGTTACCCTTCAACGAGGTGACATAATCTCGTACGGCACGTGATTCGCTTTCGGAAAACTCGAATGGGCCTCGGTAATCCTGGGCACATGGATTGGCACTAGCTCCTTCATCGCCCCAGTGATAACCGAAATTTCTGTTTGGATCCACTCCCGCGCACCAGTGGTAACCCTGAAAGCGAACTCGGTTCTTCCTCCAGAGACGATCACCAATCCAAGAATGCTTGTAGCCATCGGGATTGACGACCGGAACAAAGTGAAAATCAAACCTATCTAACAGCGTGTTAATTTCGGTGTCATTTTTTGCGCCCGACACAATACTGCTAAGCAAATAGAGTCCCGATGCGATCGAAATCCATTCGCTAGCGTGGATTCCAGAGTCGATATAGATGGCACGTTTGTTTCCTCCTGTGGAGACCACGACACCCCGAATTGGATTATCCTCGTAGGTATGACCTAGGGTTACGAGCTGAACAAGCGCAGGGTATTTGCTGGCAAGCAAGTCCAGGTACGAGTAAATCTCGTCGAGTCGGTGGTACTTGTTTAACTTGAAATTTTCCATATTTCGCTCTTCTAAAAATAGGTTTGGATTAAGTTCTTTGCGCTCAGCATCGATCCAAGTTTTAAGATTGTCTGTAAGTATCGTGTATCTTAGTTTCCGCTTCTTTAGTGCTGCTTCTACTGTTTGTGCTGTTATAGTTGGCATAATAAACGTGACGTTCCTACCAACAAGAGGTTTTTGCCAGAATGTCACATTTTGACTTTCATCGTTTGCGAGTTCGTTAAAAAAACTCTCGGTGCTTCTGAAGCCGACCATGGCACGATAAACCTTGTAACTGAAAATAGCAAACATATACAATATATTAAACACACAGCTATTGACACTTCGATTTTCAACATAAATGCAACATATCACGTGAGGTGTCTCTAGAATAAAAATGAAAAATCAAATTTGCAGAATGTCTGTTACTTAATAATGACAACCATATTAAATTAGACTTTGTCTTTCTAAAACACAGGTTTATCTCTGGGTTACCGAACCGTTATCTGAAATACATGAAAAGAATAGAAACCAGCAAAATGTATACCCATTATATGAGTTGACTTCTCCTGGATGCAGCAAACGCTCGTGTGTATAAGGTTGCCTCTCTGGGATGGAACCAAACTGTCTTGAAGCACTCTTCACGGTAAATGTTTTCGACTTCACAGAAGCACCACTTGGTTGGGTCTCTTGCTTAACAAAGCTACCTTTTTCTTCAGACCTTGCGTCCATTACAGTTGTAGGCTCTACTAGAACAGCTGACGAATATCTGGAAGGAATAATTTTAGCTGCGCTCTTTATCGGTAACTTATCCCTTGCTTTCAGACTAGTCCTCGCATCATCAGCTTGTTTTTCTTCTGCATCCGTCTTGACAGCGTTTGGCATTGAGGGCGTTTTTCTGCTTGCCGACTTGCCTGCGGTCATCATATCACTTTCGAATGAGTACGACACTAAACCTTCTTCCTTTTTCATGAAAGTTGTTTCCGTCAGATGTTCCACTGCAAGTGCTTTCCCCATTTTGCCGGGTTTATTATTGGGTTGAACTTTTATAGGCATGTATTTATTCATAAACGGTTTGCCTAAAGCCCTGTCGCCGCCAGCGAAAACTCTGGACGCGATAACCTTTATATTATTTTCACTGTTATAAAAAGGCACAACCTGATTAGCATCGGTGGCAGAAACACTACACGTAGAATTCATTATAATTTTTTCCTTAGAGTTAACCATGGTAGGTTGTCCCTTCATAGAACTCGCTGGCTCTGGCATCTTTGAAATGTCTTCTTTGTTTTCTGTGTTTTTCGTTTGTTGTTCTTTCATTCGCTTTTCGGCCTCTTCCAGAGCTTGATCTCGCATCAACAAATCGAAGCCGGACAGTTTATGGGCTGTCTCGTGTCCAAGGAGCCGAACACTCATTTGATTTGCCTTTGATTGGGACAAGTGTCCTGGTATTTTTTCCGGCCGGGACTCGTTATCATCTTCGGCACTAAAAGTCGAAGGAGCCGCCTGTATTCCACACGGTTGGTCTTTACCCTTTATCGTTGACTTTGCTTTTGCAGAAGCAGGTTTTGTGTCGGCGGCTGACAACAATCTTGCATTGTCAAGGCAAGGCTCTAAGGGTACTCCAGCGGTTGTGCCAATCAATAAAGCGCATAGCACAAGCCTCATTTTGGCTAGCCGGCTGGTAGGTTAACTGGTCTTGCTCCTCGTATCTTTTGCACTCTACCTCTGTTCGACGCACAATATATATATATATATATATATATATATATTGGCCAGCGTCAGCACTTTGTTCGTGACTCCATCTACCAGCGTCTCTGCAGGCGGCCGTCATTTAAATCCTTTTTCTCTCCCTTGGCCGGATGCGGCGCTCGGAGCCAAAATTCGCCCGGTTATCGACCCGGACTGGCTTTAGTATTCTGGTGATACGTTCGGCTATTGCGTCCGTTGACGCCGTTCAGTGCTCGAGTCCGGGAGAAACGACCAAAAGCCACAAGGCCACTATAGAACTGAACTCGTTCAAATGGCCGGCTAGCTTTCCGCCGGCTATTGCCGACCAGTGGGACAGAACGGTCCCGGTTTTCTAGCGCTTTTCGATGTAAGTTCGTAAATGTCGCTGGCATCAGGCGAACAAGATGGTACCCTCTCGTTGCTCGGAGAAGTCAACTAGGGAGTACCCGCTGACGTTGTGAAACAGGGCCACGGTCACCGCGATTGGCATATATATGCATCTGTTATCGATGCAGTTTCGCTGTTAACCAGTGAAAATTGTACGCGCTACCAGTTTATTACTGAGTATGATTATGATGTACAAGACAAGAGAGGGCAAAATAAGGTGGTTTTTTAGCTTGCGTAAGCTTATTTCATGCCATATATTGACGGATGGCTATTTGCTTTGATGTTGTAACCGAAGTGTTTAGACGTATTTCAGATAGACTTCCCTCAGTTAAAAGATAAATATATTATCTATAGAATTTTCTGGATTACTTGCAACTCATGTATATATAACCGTCGAATCGCATGCAGTATGGGCATGCGTACTCCGAGATTTTGTGCTTGAATGCAACTGTAAAGTTCCACCGATAAGACTGAGTAGTTGTTTTGTTCTTGTTTTAATTAGCCCTTTCAGAAAAACTTATTTCGTCATAAGCATCGTACTTACATTCATGTAAAAAACGTAAAATATTAGAAGTGTTTATCTGGAAATAAATAAGCGACTTTTTAGTTGTGTTGTAATAAAATACAATCAACTGTGTTTAACAAAGTCAAATTAACAGACCACATAATGTCCTTTTACAGAAAACAAATAAAACAGAGTTTTAGTGGGATACTTGAATATATATGAAATTATTCATATTGTTCGAACAATTGAGAAAAGCCTTGTTTTAGGTTAAATAAATTATAGGTGTCCGATATCTTCATTGACACGTTTCATGGCATCGATTTTATGCAAGGACTGTTCATGCTTTTTGTCTTGATAGTAATGGCTGCTCTGCCATGCATGGGATATAAAAAAATCGCCCTAGACGCTTCACGCGGTGGCGCCAAAGTGGTACGCATTGGATGCGGGGTCATTGATCGCGATCGAATAATCCTTTGCGAAGAGTAAATGCAAGCGTATATCAATATAAATACGGTGGCGGGTATCTGAAAATCATTTCGTAATCGTGTACTGTCAGCATGAACGGCTAATTAGCGTGATTCCTTTTTTTTTTTGGCTTGTTCTCATGCTGACCGGCAGCCAACGGTTGCGGAAAAAATCAGCGAGTTATCTAGGAACTTAGAGCCGCAGGCAACGCGGTATCAAGCCGAAATGGGATATGCACTAGAAATTGTTATACAAAAAGCTTTTTCAGCTTTATAGGATCTGCTATACAGTTTACATGCCTGAAGTGCAGCTTAGCTGTCTATTTAGCTCGTAGATAGTTGTTCTACTTAACTATATGAAAACAGACAAGGTTAAGAGGGATTACGTTCAAATAAACCCGCCTAACTTGAGAGATCATCCAACTGAAAGGGCAGTACGGTGGCAAGCTAAATTTCATAGTGGTTTCTTCCTGCTTCGAAACTTCGAAATGTTTGTCGTTGTTATTTTCGCACATCTAGAATAAGTTGAACTAAGTGAAAAAAAAAAAAAAAAGAAGCATTCATAGATTGAATGATTTATGTTGCTCTTATGCGTTCATTTTAATACAATCCATGCGTAAATTTATCCCTGTTTTAAATTGGGAAAATCGACGCTGTCTTCTGTAACATGGGACTGGTAGAGGAGTCGATGAATATGCGTGTCGGGTCACTCGCTTTCGGTTCCTGCCGTACTCTGTGTATATTTGTATTGATATATATTTTCTATTCAAAATGAACGATTAGAAGCCACTAGCAAGGCATTTGGTGCCGCTCGCGTTTGTGGTTAGCCGACCTTTCCAAAGAGAACTCAAGCTGATAGCTAATAAATAGTACCAAACCATTTTTGGGACCACTCACTAACAATTTGGTCGATCGGTTAAACGACAACAAATGACAAGTACTAATTTCTTACTTCATTTTTTCTGTTTGTTGGCAAAAGTTAGACATGCTCCATTAACCATTTGACCTGTGGCTCGTTCCGGCTAAATCGTGGTACTACCACACATCAAGATTAAGGATCAACTTAGCATTAAATGGTCAATGCCGAAATAGAAACAAGCACAAATATCTGTTTGCATATGAATGTCCATGTCGTATTTATTTGCCCGCTGAAGACATGTAGTAGTACGTCATTGTGGAGAAGAAATGTGCGCAAGATACTGCTGTTTCGGTACCAAGGTAGATAAAACGATCGTCTCAACATCATCAAGTCTCGGGTTTATTTAAGTTCTTAATTTCAGCTCATCGTGTAATTACGTAACTACTCAGAGTTAACGTTATGTCACTTCGTACTCATAATGTATGCTTAAATTATTTTCATTGTAGCGGAAATATTTTTGGCCGTTGCAGGGTTGTTAGCGCTACCCCCTGGATTACCCCCGATAAAAGAGAGATCTCGAAGTGCGCAATGAATTTGCCCTAATAGTAATAACAAGAACAATAATAACGATGAGTTCCATGTTATCGAATATCTCTGAATGTACTATACGCATGAACGTCAAGGATCGGAAACTAGAGCAATGGCCAAAAAATCCCAATTAACTAACGGTCAGATAGGACGTCCTATTTTAGATAAAACCAATTGTAACATTGTGTATCCGGCATCGTCATGTTTCAGCTACCAAGTATATCCTTTTTTCGAAACAGTTTACCGTTCAACATACAGACACATCATACATACAGACACACGCATTAATGCGAAGATCCAGCTTGTGTTCAAGGGCCGAAAATCCTTGTACCAGTGAGTTATTTCTACTTGGCTTCGTCTAACAATGAGAGATGACCCTCATTGTTACGCCATATATCAATGGAGCGCATTCGATTGTCAACAAACTAGTTGCATACAAATGTGAAATTCTGCTAAAGCTTTTTGCTCTTTCCTTTGATAATTTCTGCTAACTCTAACAATGTAACAGTGCAATAGATCAATGATACTCGATGAATTGAATTTAAGCGTCAACAAGACGGAGTTCATTGCTGATTAAACGAACAGAGGGACAGTTAAGAGGAGAGACAGGGATCAGAGAGGGTCGGTATTCTGTTGTAGGCATTTCAGTTGAAGAGAACCTTACCGAAAACAATCCTGGAAAGTCATTGGCCTTGAAGAAACGTTTTCTTAGTTTGAATCGAATGACCTCTGAGCTAATTGATTCATTAGATGGTTTAAAAAATCTCCACCTCCACGTGAAGTTGCTCGCCTGACCTTACACGATCTGCGAATCAGTTCTTGTCTAAAAGACAACGGCATTATATGCGTCGCTGACATCTTGGATAGGATCGTACATCCATCTATCTAACTGTAGCCGTTATTGGTTCAGCTGGAAAACATTAATGGCATTAGCATCTGATTATTTTTTCTTTTATATTCGAATGTTTACTTTGGACTTAAACCTCAAATCAGTCTAAGACCAGTCATAGAACTGGAAGCAGGAATAAAGAAATCTGAAGAACCGAAGGCTTTCTTTTAGAAGGCACACCTTTTTACCACAGGTCTCCCATACGTGACAGGATATTGCTACGGATACATGGGCGTAAACCTAAATATCCTTGGTTTGTCTACCAAAATCAAGATATATTCTTGCACGCAAAGGGGTCCGAGAAGAATACACGACTCAAGCCCGGTATCACGCAACATTATGAACTGCCTGCACAACGATCATGTCCGACCCTGCCATGGAATAGTCTAACAGAGAATCTTGTCCAGTATTTGCGCCACGAATCCGTATCCTCCGCCCATCTCTTTGCTTACTCGGAATAAATGAGTGTTTAGCGTTCTGCTTTCGGTACGACCGTTAAGCATTGACTCAGACAGCTGGCCTAATTTAGCAGTAAACAAACAATGTTTATGCTTGGCTTCGAGCTTCAGTCGTTTGACTTGTCCCTAGTATAGTAGTCTAGCATTTTAGCACTGAACCAAGGCAGCGATCCTTTACCTTATATGTTCCTGCTTTGTTTGCCGCTGCTCTTGCTGTTGTTGTCGTCGTCGCGCTTGCTGCCGTCATGATCGATGCCTGCAATGGTCTCGCGCCTCCCGCTAGCAGTCGACTTAACTCAGCTGGTGGCAGTGGCAGCGCCCAATATGGGAGTCTCCGCATCATTTGTTCCTTTTCTCTTTTGAGTAGCTTTTCTGCTGAAGACGTTGCAACTCCAGGAATTGCTACACTGCCTTATGGTCTATCTGCAACCGCCTCGACGGCGAGTGACACCTGTTCCTGCTGGAGTACCTCTTACAGCTGTACTTGCTGTGGTCGTTGGGGATATCGCTGATCCGGTAGAATCTGCTGGCTCAAGCGGCCCATCAGCTGCGCATTTTCCTGTGGATGTTACTGTTGTAACAACTGCTGAAGAGTACCGGCTGTAGCTGCAGAAATTGCTGGAGGCAGATGCTGTGGGATTGTTTGTTGCTGCCGCGGAGGCTGCAGGAGCAACTGCTCATAAAATAATTGTAGTGGCGGCTGCTGCTGCTGTGGTTGTATTTGTAGCATGCAATTGTGCTGCTGTGGCAGTTGCCGCTGCAGCTGAGGTTGCTGCCGTGGATGTTGTACCGAAGGAAGCGGCTGTTGCATAATTTCCTGCAATAGTTGAACATGGCTCGCCAATAGCTGCTTTCCGTCGTGGTGCAGCTCCTGTCGTTCCTGCTGTTCTCGTAGTGTATTTAGATTGACCGGTAAGCTAGTCTGGAAATTGGCCACGGGAAAACGAGCTTCTCCATTTATTAATTGGTCAACTCCTATAGTTTGTTATTCGTTCGTTAAGTGCCTAGCGAACTCGTTGCGTTCTGTTGTAATTTGCTGAAGACAATTCGGTTTTGTGACTGCTAGCAAAATCGCTTCTTTTTTCTTCGTCAAGTAAACTATTTAAAACACTGTTATTGCTGGTATTATAATTGGTCGTCGATACTTCGTTTAGACTCTGAGCGTCGTACATCGACGCCATGTGGTGCAAGAACTCTAATTTGTTTTTTGTAACTTGAACACAGTGACAGGCGCGGTGGACTAATGATCGTATAATTGAATGTACGTCAACGGGCCAGCAAAAAGTTCAATACAAGAAATTCTCTTCGGTTTAAACACTCTATAAGGCTCGTTTCCACGCTAATGTAGGGTATCTCACACAGCATCATATCGGTACGAAATAATGGGAAGGATCATCTCCCCCAGTAGATCGATAGTCTAATCGAAACGCTTCGATTCGATCGAAAACACTCTACAGTTTATTATTATAACTACAGTTTTTCCCATTCGCTCTCTATCCCCAGTCGTTACCGGGATATTCTACAGGTGCTATCAGATTCACTATAATTACCATAATGTCTTGCTATTCTATATCGGATGCACGACATATTCTTGTCGAACAAATCCAAGTTGATGGGGGTGCACATTTATGCCAAAGTCAGTGCGTACCTTTATAATATCATAACGGCATTCTCTTTATACACCTTAACTTGCTTTCCTACCACAGCATGTTTTAACCATGTGGTACCATATGATCGACATATGGTATTGCTTGTGATATAGACGTGCAGTAGGCACGGCGTATGGTAACTGACAAAAACCTGATGCGCGCGAAGTGAGTCCCTGCAGTCGCTTTACTGAGTATGCTGTCCTGTGAGATTAATTGGGGAAGTCTATGTTAGGCAAAAACGCAGTAATTTGCTTATGTGTATAACCATATAATAATCATGATATTACTGCTTATTTTGTACTGTATTTCTGGGGCGAAGCGCACGGACGAGATTACTCCAGCTTCCGCGTTTAATAGTGAAAACTTAACGTAAATAGTTAAAAGTTCTTGCACTGTCTACGTTTCCTTTGCTTAAGGAACTATATCTTTTTCTGATATTCACGGGTGGGTGTTTTGTGATTCTGATGATAAAATCCCTTAACGTATGATTCAATGCCGAAGGTTTCCATTGTGAAGGCAAGCATTTTATGTCTAGTCATATATTTTATATGCAATACAGCGAATTAAAGTGGTGTAACTGGGTTCATCTGCAATGTCCACATCTAGTACATATATAATAATAAATAGACATACTATGTACTACTAGATACAAGAGGGTACTAATAGAAACGCAGTACGTAACATACGTACATAATGATTGACCTGAATTAAGTTCACAACAACAACAATCTATAGTATCATTTTCGTCAGGATAAGGCCACCTTTTCCTACCCTCTACCGCCCGACTCAATCCGACTCCATACTCCGATTTACGTGCGGTCATTCATACGCGCGATATTACAATTCGTGCGTCTGTTGACTTACTCGTCAACACTGGATAATAAGATAAGCCACAAAGTACTGTTTAAAGGTAGATGCGCTCAGATCACTGAATGGCTCAAACCATTGTGTAAATATTCTCGTTAGTAGAGTCACCGTAAGTTGATGCGGTGCGACAAAACGGAAAAAGGTACACGACAGAGTAATCTGAGTTGGATGGAATTAGAGGCTACATCCATGGGGTAATAGCGAGGCAAGAAGTGTAAGATAGTTTCGGAAACAACGAACTTTTCTTTATCTATGACCTTCCAATCAGTGCCGTTCGAGTGTAGATCATCCAGTAGCTAATGTTCGTGGATCGATTATTCACAGGGGCGATTCGCCCACAGCTACGATATCACAAAATATTTCCGAGCAGTAATTTGACAGAAACAACGTTTAAAGCTTCGACCGGTTGAGTTGACCGAGCTTAGCGGAATTGTAACCCTTCGGTTGCATCAACGATATCAACGCAACGCAGTTTCTAAGACCAAGACTACAGCAGTAGATCTCGTAATCACAATCGTCATCACCATTATAATAACGCCATTAATAAATGACCCGCTAAGCATTTCAAATTCTTTCAAGGCAATCTAGTTTTTGATTGCGTATTGATTTTCTGGGTTCAGTTGACCAATAATAGGTAACAATATCAGTGGTGCAGATTATATCTCTAAGTACTGTGCAGAACTGGGTGAGATAGAACATAACGCCACTTCCCTTCCCCGGAGCACATTGAGTTTTCTACATCTAAATCGATACTAGCTATCGTTACGCTCTGTGGTCTTTTTAAAATCAGTTTCCATTCGTTCTGTTAGGCCCACATTGTTTCCTCCTGAGGATCCTCCCACCAAATCGTACCAAAGCTTTCACCTGGCTTGGCCTTTGACATAGAGTCGACTGCATCCGAGCCGTATGGGCGTTAACGGTCCGATACGCGCCTATAGCTCTCAGCATGAGAGTGTGTTGGGAGTTCTAGCATGTTTATCTAGTTATCGCAATAGTTATATTTGGCATGGCCCACATGGAGATTCAATAGACTTAGCTACTATTAAAAACTTTTGCGTTTGTCTGTCAAAAGAAAAACAATAGAGGACAATCACTTCTAATCATCACGTTCCATCTACTACTAAAAGAAAACTCCGATCTGGGTTTTGAATACGCTTGTGTGTTTAAACTTTAAATTGGGCTTATCTTTGCCTAGGTATAGCTGACAGCATTATCGCCTGCCATCATGCCCATTTTCTCATTTAGACTCGTCGACAGCGTAACTCATTCACATCGACGTTCGTTTCTCGCATTCTCCAACATCGATCACAATAGCATCACGCCGTTGTTGCTAGGTCGAAACGTGCAGTTAGATCTCTCTTCCCCAACATTAAAACAATCGATTAAACTGACTGCACGCGGACAATTGACAGCAAAACTAACATGGGATTATATTATAACTGAAGGCTCATTCACGCGATCGCTGAAATGTTTTGTTCTACTGCAAGATTCTATAGCGTTGTCTCTCTAGCTGTTATGGGACGCCTGCATTAGATGCGACACAAAGACTCTTGCTTGCCTGCCTGCTGGCTGATTGTGCAAACGTGCTTGCTGAACCGACGCAGTCAAGGTGTCGTCTTTGTCTCCTGCTGTCGTCGCCATCGGTGATTAAGCTTTGTTCGGCAAAAGTCGCACAAAACGAGCGTCGAAATTTCTCGTTTCCACAAAGAAGACACGAAGTCTACATAAAAAGTAGAGTCAATCTTGCGTGCATCTGTAAATTCTAAGTACACCACTTTGACCACTATAGAATGGAAGACAGCTTCGAACAATCCTTCAATTTGCAACTAGAGACGTGTACGCCCCCACAAAAGGATGAAGTCAACACCAGGTCCCGCCATACCTCTCTATGTGAAGAGGATTCTATTTCGCATGTTTCTGCGTCGCAGAATTTTTACTCCGCTAACGATCATCTTCACAGAGGGCTACCTGGTGACGCCATCTGGAAGGTGTCAACTTGCGACGATTTTTTCCAAAGCGTGAGGCTGGCAGCCAACAGGTCGGTTCCGCGGCCTCACTGGATACCCTATCCTGTTAACATCGCTGCCGCGAGCGAATTTAGGTGGTCAAACGGAAAACTTGAACTCGTGGCCAAGTTTATTCGAGACCGAGGTGCTCAGCACGACGTTCTCGAAACCGAACTACGGCAGTTCCGCACATTCATTACTGGGAGACCGCCTAATCGACTTCAGGCTGTCCAATGTGGCCTTGTTCCAGTGGTCATGACTTGCATCAAAACGGCGCCATCTCATTTGCTTACGCTGGTCGTACAGACTCTGCGCGAGTTGACGATCAACCTCAGTGACTATCCCGCCGGGATCGACGACGCTGCCCTTTGGCGTTTATGCACACTACTTACTCAGCAGAATCCGGTTTATGTCGAAAACGCATTAGCCGTTTTAGATGAATTGACGCAATTCGATCAGGGTCAGTGTGCGGCGTATCGTAGTAACGTCACAGTAACTCTCGGGGAAATCATCTCGAAACCTCAACCGGCGGAGGTTGTAATTCCAGCACTGAAAGTGCTCACGAATATCGCCAACAACCCAGTGTTCGCCGGAATTATACTAAGTGCTGATGTGCTCAGCTCGTTCAGAAGAACCATTCTACACCAGTTTCTTAGCTACTTTCAGCAACAGAAAATGTCAACGATGGACAGCCGACCGTTGAACTTGATGTGGAAGATTGCGTTAAGCGACAACGTCGTTGACCGCACGCTGCTTCTGTTGCCACAGCTTGTTCGGGAATGTCCAGTATTTTGTTTAACGGTTTTGTCAAAATGGAGCCAGGTAATGACGCAGTGGTCAAAGCTAATCGAGGTATGCGTACTAGATAAGCAGGTCTTCGAAAAAGTTCGGCTGGATTTCATCGAAACTTCATATGTGAGTACCAATCGACGTCTTTGTTTTAAATTTACTGTTGTAATTGATTAGGCCATGTAATAGAATGATGCACTCGGTATAGTTCATCAAGAATCAATCATTAGAATTATTAAGAATACTACTTACTAAGCTAACGATCTGAGCCAAAATGTCTGTTACCGTTCGTATCAATCTCCAGCTTATGCGGGTTCTTTGAAAAAGCACAAAAATGTATAACAGATGGTAACGTAAAGCAACAAAATAACAGCACATAATAGCCAGTCCCCATAATAGTGCATTGGTAACATGCTGCCTGCTAAACTTTGAAACACGTGTCGTCGTCTAGATTCAAAACAAAGCGTAGATGCACTTCGTTTTATATTGAGGTGCTTAACAACTTTTAGTAAACAACTGATAAGATTCGCTCTTTGAATAATCGTGGATAGATACGTTAAATAGTTCATATACTTACTATTTACTCAAAGCTACTTCATAAGCATATCCTGAATAGGTTCACAACGAAGTAGGCGAACAGTTCGCATTTCGACAACAAATTGCATTTGATAGTCTCGATAAGCTTTCGATAGATAGCTACCTATGCCACAGAGTTCAATGATGCCACTTTTGTTCAAATACATGTTGAAATCGTTTGTTTGCGAAAACCTAGAGAAATGTCTTCGTCGTCTACTGCGGATTTCATGTTGCATCTTCCTTTTGTTATTTCAGATAATTCTTCGTTACGGCGAAAATGCATGTGTGATCTCGCTAGTTAAGCTGCTCCATAAAATTAGCATTCATATTTCTCCAGAATATAAACATTTGATAATTGAGGCAAGCATTATTGACGCAATTATTCAGCGATTTCCCGTTAAACAGCTTTGGGCGCGTTTCGTTGAAGAAGTTCAAAGTGTGAGATCTCCTTTTGGTATTTTAACCAATGGCAGGAGCAATATTGCAACGGACGTTTTGACTCTGATCACTGATTTGCTAGAAGCTTTACCGAGATACCGAGACAAGGCAATGCACAAAAACAATATCGTTGAAACTCTACTTAAAAGCGACATTCTCTCCTTAGCCGCCTATAAAACCCACGTGCAATCCACCGACGCCATGTTGCTAAGACTAACAGCGGTCATTGACAAGCTTACTCCTGGATGGTGCTTCCGTGAACGGCAGATTATACAAGCAGTAAAACCTGCGAGGGCCGACTTAGCCGTGCAGCCGAAAAACTGGTCGAGTTCGTCGGTCTGTGCAACTTGCCAAAATCGTCAAGGCCTCAGTCATATGATTCCGTAGGATATATTATATCTATGCTAATTTAGAGACAAAAAACCAGAGGTAGTTTACCTTCGCCAATCGAAGCCGCACGCATGCCGACGAAGTTCAGGACGAAAGATACGGTCCTCTGTACATTATTCTTGTAAGTTTCCAGAGGCGTTCTCTTTCAGTATTGTATAAACTTGTTTAGAATTAGGAATCCGACTGATTGTTTTAGCCAAACATTGTTAAACAACATTACGATCTGATTATTTATATAAGGAAGGCGCGTCTAGGGTACTATGGCTCGATGTTTTTGCGCTATTGCGAATCTCATTACGTGTCATTTTCTTGCCACCTGCTATAATCTTTTATTAAAACCTTATGACGGAGAAAATTATGTCTAGTTATGTCGTCATGTAAAGCCAAAAACTTGTTCAATCCGACTACAGTACAGACGGGTGCTGCGGGGCTGCAGATGCCTTCAAAGTTTCAATATTTATTGCTTAACCTTAAAATCAGGCCGCGCCTTCGATTGATCGAAGTTAGCAGTAACCCAACGCCTTGCCCAGATATGCCGTTCGTATCCGACACAAATGATCTGACCAACTTCTTGGTCCATAGCTGCGTCCAAACAGCGTATGTTTTAGTCATGTATCGTTCTTACTTCTTCTATATTGGATCCAACCGGCAGATCATCTAACAACCGCCTGCAATATCACCAGAGTATCGTCATTAAACCAAATTCGTCACAGTCCGCTTGGTAATTTACCAAGCGAAAATGCATACCTTGGTTCAAGTTGTGCAGACCAAATTCAAATAACCGATGTGTATAGGAAAAACAGACGTAATCTTAACTTAATCCGAAAACCTGTTTGCTCTATTACTGTTGTCGCTTATCAGGTTTGTTTTTCCGTCCTTTTGACACGCATACTCAGTGGTTATTGAATTGATGACATTCTGAAATAAAGCCCTGTAATCCATATATGGCTAGTATTTATGTAAAGAATATATTAGTCTATCGATTTAGAATTTGCATTATTTTGTATCGAGCAACCATGGCTTGACTAGTACCTTGTACAAAATTATAATAATTAAATTATAAGGGAGAATTTCACGTTTTATGTACTTGCGATGTTGTTGTACACGCTAATTTTACCGTCAGTACCAAGCACATGATACCTTATACAAAGGAATAATTCGATTACATCACAATTAGGTGGACATCACGTTTGTCATCTGAAAAATAGAACAAAAATATCATAGGTGAATGACCTGCACAATAGGAAATGCTATACTTGAAATAAATTGTTAGTGAACGTACGTTGTTAACTTGTTTATATAAAAAACGTGTTCTCATTTCAACTGTTTAAGCGTTTAACTATAGTACTTGCATGATTGCTGTAACTATTTAAAATAGATGCATGTGCCTTTACACGTCATGGATATACTTTAGCGATCAATTCAAAAACTAAATCGTCTTCAATCTTTAATTACGGGTAAGTCTTAAAGTCATGTTGCATTTACGAGCAAATGGATTCGTATGTAAAAACTCGGACATAAAATATAATAATTCAAATTCGACTACGACCAATTTGGCTATGGTTGATTCTGATCGATCATAAAACAAGCGGTGCACCTGATTACAAGCGCGTAAACCGGAACGAAATCCAAGCGTACTTAATTTCAAAGTCAACACCTTCAAGAGTTAAAGCTAGCTAGATGAGATTTAATGAAGAGAATCGAAATACCTGCGGCTGTCGATATGCTTGTCAATTATTTTGAGCAAACAAGAATATGTAAACAGACTATGAACAAAAATAAGCATTTCTTATTTATGGCATTTACTCCATTATTTTTGATCAATGTGTATTTTCCGGAAAAACTTCAGAAAGATGCTGTGTTATGTTTTAGGTGGGACGATTGAACTGGGCAAGCAAATATTCTTTTTTGGTTCTCGTTTTAAATGTTCCAACATTCGATAACAACTTAGCACTTTTACGAATTTGACAGTTATATTTAAACTTAACGAATATTTAGATTTATATTTACTTAGTGCTCGGTACTGACATAAGACAGTATCGATAGAGACTCTACAGCAGTCACCGTCATATGACTGCGTTCTGCAAATTGTGATATTGCGCGCTGATAGTTAAACAAAACATATGCGATGTTTTTAAACTAACCTACTTCTAAGGAAACTGTTATTTGAAGCCAAAGTATATTTTTCTCGGTATATGGACTCAAAAACCACTGTACCTCTTTTTTTTTTACCTGTTACTAAAAAAAGCTATCGATGCTGCTTGACGTTCTACAATAAAATCCAAATTTTATTTAAAACAGATATTTGAGTACTGTCAGTTAAAAAGGTTGCTAAATGCACGAAACATGAATAAAGAGGCACTTGCGTTCGTCTGTTTTCGGACTGCTCAAGTCAAGGACCTTGTTTAGATATTGTCAAGTTAAGGTAGGCCAGCCTAAAGTCTCCGCTAGTTTTTCTTAATAGAAGAATGAGGCTAAATTATCTAGCTTGATACATGCATGGTATTGATTATATATTCACCATCGTTGCATATAACACAAAAAGCGAATACGCCTAGGCAGCAAGTATATTGTTCCATCAACAAATATAGCTTTGTTCATACTATACGAATTTAAAATACGGTACGGTTACATCATCTGTTGAAGAAATGAGCCTACAAAGTTCGATTAATTGCCGCTTCGTTACTCCCAAGGAGCTATATGTCAGCAGCTGATAGGTATGTTTATGTCTTCCAATATAATTCCATCAACATTAAATAAGACGCCTTTGTCTGTATATCCATTACATAGCAAACGACAGTCGGTTCAAAGGAGCATCAGTTGTACTCTATTGTTACCTGGCCAGTTAAAATTGCAGAGGCCTCAATTCTAACTTGATGCTCAATTCAATAAAACTTCGATGGGGATGCACAGACTCTAGTCGCGATGCTTCTGACTAGAGTGTAGGCGAATTGCCGTTATCCGTTCCTTTTGTCCGTTGATTGAAGTTCATACAAGTACAGTGGTGGTCATTGTTTTGTACGTATTTGTTGTTAAAGTTCGTTGTCATCGTATACCACCATCGCATGTGCAATGTCCTGAACGAAAGCGTGGCGAAAAATCGGCACGTTGATTGCATCAATGCTTCCGCACGTACTGTGGCGGGGTTTTAACCGGCGCGTGCATAACTTTGCGCACACTTATTCTCATTAGGACGCACGACACGGACAGACGGTCTGACACGAGGACTCGTATGTAACCACTGCATCAATCCATGATTGGGCATTTAAATGGATGCGTCTTTGTGATTTCGTGTTCTTGTAGTCCCATTGCAAACCGTTTTTAAGCTGCTTTCGTACAGTAACGTTACACAAGAGGACCAGTTCTAACAGACTGATTGACCATGTTCCCGTCGTGTACAACTCAGCCTAACGTTGACAAATGGTCGACGTGCTACGAGCCTCAGTCCCCGTCCCCTCAGATCGAGCATCAGACACGACAGAAGTTATATAGTTTGCTGAGCCCACATGCGTTGAGATCAGTACCTTACAGAATGCCTCTAAGCTCTGCTTCGTCCAACCTATCCACTGCGACCGCAACTAATTCTTCACACGAAAAATCAGCATCACCCCAAGATAGCCACAACCAATTCTATCCAAGCAAACCTCTCGAATATATGAAACCTGAATGGAGTCAAGGCTTCTTTTCGTACCCATCCACCCGACTTTATCAACAAAATCCCAATGGGTATTCTTACGAAGTAGCTAGGACGGACAATGACATTCGCTGGGTGGTAACTCTTATTCGAGACAACCGCTGTGATCAAGAAGATAACCTGGAATGCCAAATCGAATCGGTTCGCAAGTACGTATTAGGTAAAAAGCGTCATCGTAATCAAGCCATTTCACTAGGGATGGTAGAAGCGTTAGCAAGTTGCCTCAGGACAGCGCCTTCAAAGCTGCACCGAGTCATCTTGCAAGCCTTACACGAAGTGACCACCGACTTGGAGTATTATCCTGCAAATATCAATGATACGTTTTTCATTACCCTCGCCTCGCAACTCATAGAACACCCCGAGTGTATCAGAGGAACGCTAGGCATTTTGTGCGAATTCACAAAATTTGACCAGGGCAAGAACTCAGCGCACAATGCCAAAGTGGCTAAAACGCTCGGCGAGGTGCTTTCGAGTGCTCGACATAACGATGTCCTAGTGCCAACGCTACAGGTCTTATACAACATCGCTGAGGTTCCAACTTATGCCGGAACCCTTGTGGATGCACGCATCTTCGAGTCGTTTCAGACAGTAATCGAAGAGCGTCTTGTGGAATATTTCCAAAAACAAATGGTCACAGATCTTGACGACCAGGCGGCACCACTCATGTGGAATATAGTAATGACTAACAACAAGCCAGTTCGAGAGAAGCTTGTTCACCAAGTGACATCGGAATGCTTTAACTACTGCAGTCGTGTTTTAGACGGTTGGAGTCCTGTTATGACACAATGGGCAAAAGTGATGAGGTTATGTGTGAACAATAGCGAGGTTCTCGAACAAGTTAAGAAGAACTTCGTCCTAAATTCACTGGTAAGGCATGTTAGTTTTTTTTTCAAATTTTAACGCTTTCCAAACTAGCCAGTTCGTCAACAACGAAAACGGAAGCCTTGATGAATGCCCCACAAACGGTAATGTTTCGAAATTAATAAACTTTCTTATCAAGGCTTATTGTGTTAGGAAGTTATATTTATCGAATGAAAAGCCGGCTACTTTTTTTGCTGATAAAATGTTCAAAATAGATCTCTACAATAGTACTCGAGCGTAAACCCTCTGCCGTTTTAGTTATAACAATACACACTGACTATTGTCTTATTTTTGCAGCAGCTTCTTGCTTAGTCGCTAATGATAAACCCCGTACGTTGTTCTTCAGGTCGTTCTTCGTTATGGCGAGTCAGACTGTGTCGTCCCACTTATCGACACTCTGTACAATGTAAGTTCTTATCTCAGCGAGAAAGATAAAGTTTTTATGATTAATGAGAAAATTGTTGACACGCTGCTAGGACGGTACTCTGTAGAGACAATGTGGAAGACTCTTACGAAGGACATCGAGGCTTCGCTGTACGGTGGGGCCAGTACAATGCCGAATGCAACAATTCGCAATATCCTGCTGTTGATAGCCAATCTGTTGAAGGCTTTGCCTAGGGACCGCGTTCCAACTACCCACTCTAACAATGTAGTCGCCACACTCCAGAGTCACCGTATTGGCGAACTTTGCACGTTGGCAGGCGGGTCGAATCCAATAAATGAAATGCTAATAGAGCTGTTTACAATAATCGATTACCTTGCGCCCGGGTGGTGCGCCTACTCGAGTGAGCGGGCTGTTAGAACACAAAAAAGTCTTCGTCGATCTTCTTCGTGAAACTAATGGACGGCAAAACGCGATCTACTGTCAGTGCCAAGTCGTTGCATAAGAAACAATTACAATTAAACCGAAACGATCGTTTAAGTAATGTCAATTTTTGGTGGATTCCCGTCTGGTGCTTAAAAATAAATTCGGAACACAATACTATTATTGCGAAAGGTCACAAGCCCGTATGCTGTTCCACCGAAATCACAACTAGTTCACGTATATTGGCCCACGTCAGATGCATTGCGACGTCAAATAATGCGTCGTATCAGCAAGGTTGTACTCGCCATCAACCCTGTGTATCTTCGAGGTGTCTATTTGGACCGTCCTTTTGATTGGAGATCACAGGATGGTCCGGTAGTTTAACAGTTTTTGGTTTTTAATGGTTTGGCCACCTAGCCTTGCTTAACCGTATGTATACTCTACGTTACTCTATGATGCAAAGAAAAGAAAAAAGAGAAATCCAACGAGTATAAATTATATATAATATTCTAACTAAATATATATATATATATATATATATATAGGAAGACTTGCACTTTATCGTTCACATTACTAAACTAAAAATAACATTTCTTTTATTCTTCATAAATTTATTTCAGCGTCCATTACTGGAAAAAGCTGTTTTTTTTTCTTGTTTGGCGTTTAGAAGGATTATTTTGAATATGCCTGAAAAATGATAATAGAAATAGTTTTTATCATGGAATCGAATTCCACTTACAGCATCAATATATCTTCAGTAAAGCATCCCTTCTACGAATCGAAATGACGTTGTATTTGTTCCGTTTGAATTAGGCAGCTAACCCTATGGCCGATCTACTGTCCATGGACATGTGATTTTACCGAAATACCCTTAATTTACGATATGAACCGTGTGAACGCCGATACGTTCATGCTTGCCGCACATGGCATAGCTTGTCGCTCACGATGTGTAGTTTTAAGTGAACCTCAGTGCCGCACCCAGTGACATCCACACACACACACACACATATATACATATATATATATTTATTTATTTATACACATATATATACAGAAAAAAAAAAAGTGTATGATATGACGAAAACAACGTAAAGCAAACCCACATATCTGTTATGCTTAAAATGTGTTATTAACTCGTGTATTCCACAAGATATGTGCAAATAAATACGAAAACGAGCATAGTAAATAAATCTAAAAAAGCAAAGCCCTTATAATCACACCTGTGTTCATTTTTCCGTCGATCGTTGACTACTGTACTTACGATAGAAGGTTTGGCTTAAGTCAACTAAAACAAAGCGAAAATGTAACGTCTTATTTTTTTTTGCTGAAAGTTTAGAACAGATTTTGCCATTAAACTTTTTATTTTTTATCCTTTCGTTTCCTTTGTACCATTTTTAAATACCGAATCATTGATTGTAATTTCCTAACACCTCACACAACTAAAAAAATAGACTATTTTTAGCACAAAAAGAATATATATATATATATATCTGTTGAATATAAAAAATGGTTAGCATCACATGCTTAGGTACATGCTTATGGCACGACAAGTTCATAGGCTATATAAAAAATGTGGATATTGTTGAAAATGGAAGACATATATGCAGTGGGCACTGACAAAATTAACAGCTCAGTTAGTTATCTCCCTTCGTTATAATTCACCTTGAGTCGATATGAGAAACGCCGTCAGTCTATTTTCGTGATTTGGTTTGAAAAAATGTATTTTATATACTTGCTAAGTCTAAATTCTACCTAAAACATAGCCACTACTCTGTAGTTGATAAATGTGACCAGGCTAAGAAAAGCTTCCTAGGGTAATTCTAAAGTAGGAATACAAGCAATAAAGAAAGCGATACATATAGTAGTCTATTATTCTTCTACATCCCTTCAGATTGCTCGTATATTGTCTCTGGACTGATATGTTCTTAGATAACTATAAATAAGATAGAAAAAAGAATGGCAGTATCAATGTCTGTTGTAGAAGAAACAGCTGAAAGTCAGCTCTGAAGAAAGTTCAACCCAACAAAAATAATTATGATCTGCGCGGCAAATCGGCAGCTTCCAGTTAGCTGGGATTAATATCAGAGATAATTGCTAAATCAATACAAAATTCAATCTACCTAACACAGGCACTTGAAGGAACCTGCGTCCCTTCAGCAAGCAAAACAAACGAGTTGTTCCTTTAGCAAACAAACAAAAAAAGCTCCTTGTCCTGATAGAAAAAAAAAAGCAACGAAGAAAATTCTAGTTGCTCATTTCAACTAGTTCTTCCATTGACTTGTGCGCGTGTTATCGAAAACGCCCGCCATCAATAAACATGGTACATGTTTATTGATGGCGGCGTTTTTAAGCAGACGCTCCGTATGAGATCGAAAACAAACAAAACTGCTTTGTCATAGAATTGTTGTATTTGCAGCTTGTATGCCGGTAGTGTCTCTGGCAATATTGACCGTGGAATATTTTGTTGATCTTCGTAAAGAAGCATCGTTTAAGGATTTGATTCCGTGCAATCAGTTAACGTATTGCAAGTCGCTCGATTATTTCTTTTAGCTATCATAGCAGTCTCAGTAACGACGACGGGGTGGCGGTAATCACAGTCAGCTCTGATATCGATACCAAGTAACGATGGAGTGTTTAATTGGCGTTCAATGCGATGACTTCGTGCTGCTTGCTTCGGATGGCAGTGTTTCTTTCAGTATAATGATGATTAAGCAGGATGAGTCGAAAATCACCAAGCTGTCAGATTCTCTCGCGATGGCAGTCTCCGGCGAAGACGGCGACACTACACAATTTGCTGAGTTTATCGCCAAGAACATCCAGTTATACAAGATGCGTAATGGGTACGAATTAAGTCCGGCAGCAGCGGCCACTTATACACGAAGAAATCTCGCTGATTGTTTGCGTAGCCGATCACCGTATCAGGTGCGAATGCAGAGTAGGTTACACTAAAATAACAGCGGGAATGCAAAGTTGAGATTTGTGACAAACATGTACATCGAGAGTTAAAGATATTATTACATATTCAACTCTCAACAACTCAAGTTAAATGCCCACAAAGGAAGTGAAAACTCTCCACGGTCATGAAACTGGCGATAGCGCGTTTGGCGATGAACAAATTTTTGATTTCACTTACTTTATATTTGTACCGTGTTACAGATGATTTTATATTAAGTTGCAGCATTTTTTCAATATGAGTCATAACATTCAGTGTATTGTAGCTTAATAACACGCAGAATTGCTAACATATTGGTTGACTAGTGGGTTGTGTGTATTTTTATAGAAAAATTTAGTTACTAAATATTGTTTTATACTTAACATACGATGATGTATAAAAGTGTAATTAAAATGGACATAGATGGACGCAACATTTGTATTTTGCTCTCTACTGCTTTGATCACGGGGCGGTTGATAACGTTCTCTATGTGGGTTGGACAAGTCAAACTAGCATATTTTAATTTTTGTTTTTTAAGTATTGTTTTGAAAATCGAATGTATAAAAGTTTTGAGTCTTTTGCGATTATAAATATAATGAAAACAGCATAATTGTTTCGTGAAAGCTAATTTTTCATTCCTAGTATCATTCATCATTTGTTCTACTTGCAAAATTTTTCTTAACTCCTGGAGAAAAACAGTCTTTGCGAGCAGTTTTTCCCAAATTACTTCTGTTCACACACGTGTTACGCAATTTGCAGGTAAACTTATTGCTGGCTGGATACGATCATGTGACGAAGAAGCCTGAACTTTATTACATGGACCATTTAGCTGTTATGGTAAAGGTGCCATTTGCGGCACACGGTCACGGATCGTTTTTCTCGTCGTCCATTCTCGACACGGAATATAGGTAAAGGAATTCGGCAAAAAAAAGAATTATTATTATAATTATCTAGCAACACTACCTGCAGAACGATCATCCCCAGTAATGAGCTGCTTTATTTTCACTGGATTATTTGTAACAATTAGCTAACAAGCTTTACTAGTTGCAGTGGAAAGTTATGCCTCTCCATTAGTTAATGGATGTGGAATTTTTCGCATAACGGCTTCTCGCTGGACACATTAACACTACCTAATGTAGAATGTAAAATATGAAGCTTAAAGCGAAAAGTTAAGAACTGACTGAGGACGATGGGGAAGTGGAAAGTCTTACCTATAGATCTAACCTGTACATTGAACTAAAGTAACGACAGTAATTTTGTTGTAAAACTATCGTATCTATTTATACCGATATCTACATCGGTTTCTTTTCCGGATCGTTTTTGTTGTCTTTTCCCTTCAGGCCAAACATGACTCTCTCAGAGGCTCAGATTATGTTGAAGAAATGCGTAGCCGAAATTCAGAGGCGTCTACTAGTGAATCTACCGTGTTTCAAGGTCGTAGCCATAACGAAGGATGGTACTCAAGACTTACCCGATATCGCTGTTACACCATTGAAGTAATAATACCCAAAAATATAAAAGCGACGGGTGGATAAAGAATTCATGTGTTAACAGAGCTAAACTTTACTACTATCCATTACATAAAAATAAAAAAATACAAACGTGGATAATAAACAGATATTTATTTATGGTGGAAGATTTTAGCATACGAATTGTTATCATATATCGTAGTTCGTACTTCTATTTGCGTGAAAATGGCTATATAAAAGACTCGAGGTGAATCAGTACGTAATAAGCGAGGATCAGTGATATCCTATTTTTTTTAGCCCGTGAAAACTTTAAAGGTCTCATCCTGTGTATTAAATTAATTTGCTTTAGGAGCTTTTCGTGTACGAGTATAACTAAAATATTCTAAAAAATATTATAAGCACCAACTACTATTCCCTCTTCAATTAGCATTGGCAAAATCTAATATACAAATTAAGTATCAAGCTCATTCACGTTCTGACGTGAAACGGCGCGTATGCGGTGTTACTGTATTCAGTAAGTGAAAAGAGAATCATTTGTGGACTAAAGAGTAAAACCAACTAAGGTATCTATAGAGAATATATGGATGTAACTCCAATTCAGTTTGGTGCATTTTTAGGGAAGTTATATTTATTACTGAGGCATTCTGTTATGGGCTTTCTTGGTGCCGGACAGAAACCGTGGCTCATGTTTGCACACAGTATAATTAACAGTAAAGTAATACATTGCCTGTCTAGGATAAAGGTTCTGAGGACACTTATTTATAGCACATATGATAATTAAGAAAACGAAAACTTCAACGAACCCCCTGACCACTCGTTATGATATTCTATGATTTTTTTTTAACAGAAGCTCTGTTTTTTGCCCCTAAGTGTAGCATGTACTTTCACGTCATTTGAGCAATAAATTACATCCTTGTGCGTGTGGGAAAATAGGCATAACGCCTTCCCAATATCAAAAATAAATTTAAAATGATATTATTGTATGCCTTAAAATCTATATCATTCAATAGAAGACGCCTAATCTCTTTAATTTCCAATGTGATGAGTTGACTGAAAATCGAATATGATATTATTATTTTTATTAGTTTAGTTGTTCCTTTAGGCATTGTTTATTTCAAAATTTTCAGACGTAGGTAAACATATGGAAGCGTAATAACCCTCTAGGCGAAATTCTAAATAAGAAATCAATACACGTGTGAACTTTTGAGGAGGAACTGTCAAAAAACTTACCTCGTAAAAAATATAAGTGATATTTACATTTAAAAATGCAGGGTTTAAGAAAGCAGTTCTTCAGTGGAACGCACAACACATCAAGTGGATATTACGTTACTTGCGTTTTAATAGTATCGTCCAGACGGTTTCTAGGGCAATTTTCTATCTCACACTATGTAGACATATAATCTACTTAGAAAACGTGTCGATATTACCAAAAACCTAGCGATTACGCTTCACATATGTACGATTTTTAAAGGACTTCAAGTCGTTGTAGTGTTCGCGAAAGTAGCAAGGGCCAAAGGAGGATGTTAATTTAGAGGCACAACAAGCTCCTTTACACTATCGTAAGTTGGTGCTAGTAAATTTAAGAATATGCAATCGTACGAGCTTTAGATGTAGGGTATTTTAGGAGGATGTAGGGTATTTTTAGGAGGAGTACTCTACTTGCCTATATTTTAGTCTGGCTTCCAAAAAGTAGAATTTTATATTTAACGAATATTTAATAATTATAATGGAAGGGGCTGTTATTAAAGGCCTTAAAGAAAAACAAAAGAAAATTTGGTTTGTCTCTATTAGCTGATTTTATTGATTGTCCTCTTTGCTCGATTCAGTGGGATTTTTTTGGTGTGTTCCTCAAAGCACATTGTTTACAATTCCCTTTATACTTTGGAAACAAAACATTTTTGCCAGTTACTCATAGTTGCCGGGTGACTACCTAATGATTCCTCAGATCACACTCTTGGCTACACGCTTTTACGTAGCGTCCAGTTTTTCCTAAAAATGGGAAAATCTTTATTCTACCCTATCAGACTCACCTTATTGCGTGAAGCCTAAAATATGTTCTGAGAGAAAGGTTATGTATAAGCCACATTATTTGCAATTTCTCCTTCGATCTTGGCGTCTTGGCTATCTTTTACAGTTCACTTCCGTTGTTCATGACTAGTCATTCTGGAAAAAGGTAAAAGAAACAAATTCATCGCCGCTTTTGTTTCAGGTGACATACTTTGCTTTTTTCATGGAAATATTTTGTTCGTTTACATCTCATTGTGTCGTAATGAGAATCTGGTGAAGGCGCAATACACTTTTGCTTCATAACGGTGTTATATTATATCGTATATCAAACATCACATCATATACACAGTGTATCTATAAAGAAAAGTTACCTTTAGACTTCGAAATATTGACCAAATCCGAATTTAACAGCGATTTTCATTGCAGCATATACTTCCGTCAACTTGAAGGCGTTTTTCTGTTAGTATTTAACTAGTAAAGTCGCACAGTTATTAAATAGGCGCCCTACAATATGTTGTGTTATGATTGATTAAAGAATTTGTTTTTCGGGCCTAGACAGCAGACTCGGTCCAAGTCTGACTATAGACGGTTTTTAAAATCGGCGAAAAGCTCAGCAGAAATGTTAATTGAGGAGAGGTATTAATACGACCAAGTAGGCAACCTATAAAATTCTTATTAACCATTTCATATTCTTAAGGATGATACGTCATGCGTGATGAATACGTCAAATTGTCAACTGTTTAACTTATTTGATCTAGAATTTCTAATAACCAGAGGTTACTACCTTATTTTATCTGTTAATTATTCGATTGTCTTTTATACGCATTACTAAATATTTCCGAGCTTTATGTTCAGTACTATCGTTAGACATTGTTTCAAATGGTGAGCTCTTTCCAGCACGGAACGAAATACATCTACACTATTTCGAACCTAGTCCACCATGTATTCTTAAGATCATTAGACATGTTAGCACTATACCACTGTGCGGGCGTAAAGACATCATTACTACTTCCACAATTGTTACTGCTAAATGACAACAGAGTAAATTTCATTGTAAGTTAATGGTTGATTACTTTATTTGCGTGTTCATCCGTTTGTAATGCTTTGTTTCTTGATGCTTATTTAATGCGCAAAGATGACCAACACAAAAGGTTATGTTCACAAATTTACATACGACCGCTCCACATCCTTTCTTTCGTTTCGTTCGCTTGTTCTGTTTCGCTTACCTTTTTCTTTTCTTTCGTTTTCGGTTCATTCATGTTTCATAATCGTTACTAGAACCTGCTACGCGCATATGACAAGGTTACCCCTTTTTGTTCAGTCTAATAATAACTATTATTAGCTTTGCCTCATTATTGCCAATACTATGTACGCTAACACTAATTAACAGTGGTCTGTGATCTTGTCTGTGATTACCGAACTATGGAAGTGATATAATTTTAATGTAGCAAATCTTACACGTTGTTTTGTTATCTAGCTTTGTTTTGTTCCTCTTGTTATACTATTTACTATTATTGTTATAATTACAGTGATGAAATTATAGGTTTCCTCTATTTCTAGAGGTGATGACAGCGAAATTAGGTGCATTAATATTTGCAATTGTTATTAATTATTCATTAAATTCTTGCTTGCGCGTTCATACATTACGACAGCGTAGAGGTCCGTCTTCACCCCCCTTAGGATGGTTTTTCATTTTCATGCTCCTCTTCTACTAATAGCGACTACCTGCGTAGGCAAAAAACTACGCGTTTTTTACTTTCGGCTAATGTCCCAATCTCAGGTTTGACGGGATGTGTTCCGAGTCGTTTCTTGTTTTTTTTATTGTTTATATTTGTATAATATGCATGTACGTATGTTTATTGAACGTTGAATTAAATTACCTCTCCCATGTTTCTGTTCGTGCCCAGAGTTCCCCACTTGAATCGCAATTAATCGCATCATCACTAGCATTGTAATAATAATAGTAATATTAATAATTCTATTCGTACATCTTTTCTTTCGTCCTTATTAGCATGCATCATCAATATGTTCGCCGCTGGCTATTCGAGTATAAGTAATCAATGTAATTAGAATTAGAAGATCAGAGCTCTGGTATCGTGCATAGGACACCTGCTCGGTTATTGGGCTGTTCAGGAATACCGCTATGCGGTCCTCATTGAATGTATCATTGAACTTCATGGATTGTTGACTCATCTGCTTCCTCTCCCACGCCGCGATGTGCATTTTCTTTTATTTTTCTTTGTTTTCGTTTTTTCTTCAGTTTATGTGGCCCCTGTCATCGTGCAAGATACGTTCATTCGATGAATGAAGGAAACACTTTGTGTGTATTCTGCTCGCCTTATTTGAACCGCATTAACCTAATTATTATAATTATGTTGAGAACACGTTTGCAGCCCATCTTTAGCACAAAAGAACTTGATCCCGAACTCGAAAAGTTTACTTTCGGCCTCGGCCACGGCCACGTCTAGCTGGTGTCTTCTTCACGGGACTAGCCTATAAATAAAGGAAGGGTTAAGCGAATGTAAATCATATTTGCACTTGTAAGCTTATGTTACTACGGAATAAGCCACAGTAGTATAATCTTTAATAAAGTATAAACCATGTGTGGCAATCATGACATTGGCTAAAAGGCCATCGATAACACGTACCCGTTTCGAGTTTATTTATGACGGCGCATGAGTATATTAAAACATACTAAACCAGTGGACGAACCAGACACTTCTTTTAATAAAAGAAAAAAGGCTTTTTCAGATTAGGATCATATTTATAAATACCCTACGAATTTTATGTACCTTAGCAGGTTCAGGGGCAGGTTCCTCCGGCTCGGCGACAGGTTCCGCCTCTTCTACCGGAGCTACTTCTGGTTCAGGCTCAGCCTCCGGTGCGGCTTCAGCCTCAGCTTCGGCTTCGGCTTCGGCTTCATCTACGGGTGCGTCCTCGCCTTCTCCAGCGTCGCCTTCAGCATCTCCATCTCCTTCCCCGCCTTCGCCTCCCTCATCATCTTCATCCTGAACATCATCCTCGTTATCGTCCTCATCGTCTTCATCACCTTCGCCATTTTCGGCCGCTTCATCATCTTCAGCGGTGGCTTTATCCTCCGAATCGCCGCCCTCGGTCGTCGCACCACCCGCAGCCTTGGCAGCCTCTTCCTCGGCTTTCTTCGCGGCACGGTCGGCCTCGGCCTTTTTCTTTGTAATACGCTTAAGATGGCCTTTGGTTTTGCAATGCGTGTCGACAAACTCCTTTTTGAAGACGCATTCGCAGAGGGTACACATCACTGCCTCGACGTCTTCACAAAGCTCAGTTCCTAAGAGGGAAAACGGATCAATAGATAATCGCAACGATACAGTAACGGAACGAGCAATCAGTGAAATCGTTGACATTATTGCCAAATACTGCCAAAAAAAAATTGGAATGTCAATTTCATTGCAGCTTCAAAATAAACACTATATATTTTTTGTTACGCGTGTTCTTAGGTAAATTGTACATAATGGTAATGGTTATCGAGCATGATATTAAAATCAAAATCATATCTTACAAACATAGTAAACATTAATATAGTATGTAAAAATAGTAGTAAACGATGTCTTATTTAATGAAAATAGGAAATACCTACAGTAATAAAAACAGTAGAATTGAGGCTTCTTCTCAGTTGTAGCTAATTACCATTCTCCAACATTATAGGCAAGTTATTTCATATAAATAGCAAGTTTTTTGTTTACCTTCAGGCTCCTGTCCCTCTTTGATGTCCAATTCAGCCGTCTCGACGACCTGCATATGAGTCTTCGAGCCGAGATGAACCTCGTATCTCTGACGGGCATCATCGCCATTGAACTTGAGACCGCAAGGACCGCATGACGGATATTTCTGTGTCCGCTTTTCACGGTGAGGTTTAGTCAACTTGTGCTGATTATATGTGCCATCGAATTTCTCTTGGCAAACTTTGCAGAAGCCTTCTGGGCTGTAGAGATATAGACAAAATACAGTCAATTTTTTCCGAAGTATTCGTGTTCAGTGCTATATATATAAGCGATCAATTTTCAGATAAAATTTAAAATATTATTTAGTATAAAAGATTAGTATTCGAATAAAAAACTCCATAAGATCGACTCACGTCTTTTTTTCAGAGTCGTCCAGAACAACGCATTCATCCTTGTTTGCTTGTTCTTTCTTCACGGCGGCCTTTTGGTTCGGACGACCACCATTTCCCCGAGCTCCTCGTAATCTCTTAACAACGGTGACACCCCCATTGTTGAAGTGCTGCGGTGTCGGCCTTTTAACGCCGCGACTCCCTCCCTGCAAACATTGCTAGTTAGCTTGACCAGATTCCGAAAGCCATGCCGGAATTTGTGGGGGAAAAAGATTGCCTTTCTCTTACCTTTCGGTGACAGTCCCAATTTACCCGGCACAAACCATTCGATAGAAGTGATAGAGGGGTCATAGGATTTCCTTTAAGTACATTGAGAGAAAGACAAACTAGAGGTAAAGTTGCAAAAAGGAAATGAAAGACACTTTACACACGGCGTGATGGGTTGGTTCGTTGAAAGTCCTCATCTTCTTTGGCTAGCAAGTTGTGAGGTAAACACTCATGATTCCGTGGTACGTGGGAGCGAAGTAATGCCAGCGAGCGACTGCCTAAAGCCTAGATCCACCGAAAGAAAAGCCCTATGCAGGGACTAAATACCTTTCTTGCTGTTGTTTCAATATCAACATTATTCACCAGTAACAACCTGTCACTACAGTGTAGTAGCGGCTCATCAACCCAGGCACAAAACCATTATCATCATCATCATCAGCATCGACCGCTCCGTTAACGAACAACACAAATCGAGCCAGGCAAAAAATACATGTTGAAACCAAGTCGTTTCACCATTTCGCATTCATTCATATACATATGAAGAGTTAATGTCTGTTGCCTACAAGAATCACCTATCTGAGAATATCAATCAATAAGAAATCATCAAATTGATAGACAGAAAAGAATAAACGTCTATCTAGTTCTGTTTTTCTACTTGAACAAGCTCTCCCTGGGACACATTCACAGTCGCCACGGAAGGCTCTAGGCCGATTCAACAAGGGGGGCTCGAGTGGCATCCCGTGTTCAGCATCGTGACCGATGGTGTGTGTTCTCGTTAATGGGACACCGGTCTCGGCCAACCCCGTTGATCAAACCCAGTCAGTCTAGACAGCCATACGCAACAATCGTTAAACAGGTTATAGGTTTATAAAGTCTTACATAGCAGTCACAATTTGCGTAAGATGCTTCGCTCACGGTTACTGTTAAGCGAAGTTTCATACTTTCTTTCTCTCCTCCATCTCTAATACTTTCAGAAACGAGCCGCATCCACCTCAGGGACCCATACCCGTTCGACAAAAAATGATTGACTTAACCAAAATTTCTTATTTTCATCGATGTTAAATCGATTTATAAGCTTTCATTCTGCTCTGCCTGATTTTTCAGCACTTAATCGTATTCTATCAATTTCTTTTTGTTTGTTTCAAACACACGAAACACGCTCGTAGTTCATTCTCATACACATCTGCTTGTTGTCGTCGGCTTTGTTTAATTTTTTTTGGCGCCAAAAAACAACAACGCACTAGCACGCTTTTGCGGGCTAATCCTCGAAAAGCGTGTTCGCCAAATAATCTCATCATCTTTCGGGTGGGCACCCTGAACAGTGGTGGCTTTGTTCTGCTTTGCTTTTCGCTTTTGGATTGGATTGGAGAGAAGTGCTCACCTGGTGTGCCTGCTGCATTGGCGGGCGGTTGCCATAGCCGCGTGCCTGCTGCTGATATCCACCGCCATGGCGTTGTGGCGCCTGGCGCATGCCGTGCGGCGGGCCCTGTTGATAGTACCCCTGGTTGCCCTGCTGATGGCCTCCTCCATAACCACCCTGACCGCCGCCACCCTGGTAGTGGCCACCTCCGTATCCGCCCTGACCACCCCCTTGCCACATCTGCTGTCCGCCCCATCCGTTACCGCTTTGCCAAGGATCGGGCTCATAACGGCCTCCTCCACGCTGTTGCTGGCGGTACGACATGTTTTTTCTAAAGAACGTTCTTAACTACTACGATAATAACGTGCTGCTGTTTTTTCTACTAGTGAGCTAGTTCGAAATAGTTCAACGTGTATATATATATATATATATATATATATATATGTATATATATGTATATGTATATATATTCGTATATATATATATCTTGCTACGTATATCCTAGGTGCCTATATATCGTCGAAGGCCTGCGACGGCTATGGAGAGGATCGACTGAGACAGAAGGGCAATTCGCGGCAATCGGTTTGGAACGAACGAACAAACGACGACGATGAGCTTTCGGCGTGGCTAGCGGCTAGGTTGGGCTGGGCTTAGCTGAGCTGGTTAGGTAGGTGTAGTACGGTTTGCTCGGCTGCTGTTGTTCCCCTTGGAGGACTCACTCTATATCTGTGCCTGAGCGTTTATCTGAGCGAGTGAAGATCTGTATCGGAAGAAGGGCGCGTACACTTCGCTTCTCGCAGCTCTTCCAATTCTGCTGGTGGGTTTTCGGCCAAACGCCTCGCGCCTTCACCCGGCACTCTCCAATAAACACTCCAAATCGTGAATGGAAGAGACACACCCGGGGGTGTTCTAAGCAACTGGTGTTGGTGTTAAGTTGTACTGTAGCTGAGACAGGCACAGACAATGATTCTGTGTGCGGCTGTGGGCAACTGCAAATCGAGGAGAGAGCGAACCAACAACAACAACAACAACAACAAAAAGATATACAAGGGACACACGGAATAATGTCGACAAAATCGACAATGAGTGAAGAAGCACCAGTAAGAAAACAAGAAGGCAAATAATTGTCACGGGTCATTCTGATTTTACATGTCGATAAGACAAGAAAACGTCATAAAATTGCTAGATAATAATCGATCACCAATCGAATAATTATTGCCTGTTGCAAAAAGATAAATGCAAAATGTGAGGTAGTCACAATCCGACTACAATAATTCATTTCATACAATTCAGGATTCAATCATCGATCAATTATCAATCAGTCAATCAAATTCAAATCAAAGTCGCAAGCAAATTTGTCTTGAATCAAATGAGCTCTGCCTTCTGTTGTTCACTCCCGGTGGTAGGTACGATAGAGCCAATTATTGCAAGTCGAATTCGAGCCTTTCGTTCTTTCTCTCAGATGAAGAATGTCTCCTTGTTTGTTTTAGCATACAAAATACATTAAACATGACGGTTATTGATATCCGATCAAAAACACACCCTCTCTTTAGAATCTACTACAGACCAACAACGCCAGCAACAACAGTGTGTGTGTATTCAGAAAATCAACCATTAACGGCTATAAAAACACAAGTAAATTTGCCTTAATAGGAAACCCAGCTCCAGCCAAGCAGCGCAGTTAACTTACTGATACAAATGGTTCAACATTAGCGATTGCGTCAATCCCAATCAAAAAGAACTCAATGTTGTAAACTTTTTTTCCTTCTTAATTCAAATTGTTTTTTCATTCTTCTCGCTATTTGTAACTGTCCCTTCAGCTCTACACTAGCCCGCCGTAAAATAAACCTGTGAATTGATTTCGAACGTTTTTATCCACATCCTTACGTTCTTACACCTTCAGCGACGACCAAAGCTCACAGACATTATCATATGCGTTTACTCCTAAGCAAAGGCATTATATATTGGATTCTATTATATGCGTTAGCGTGCGACTTCACCAGCCGCCAAGTATCGTCGCCAACGGTGTATGATATGGCCTAACGAAGTTCGTTGTGTTCAATGACTGTGAACGAATGCTGATGTGATGCCGATGGGGATCCGTCCGGTACACAAAGTCGGTGTGCACCGATCAGAGCAACGGTCACTGCACGGTAGCAATGGTTAGAAATCATGATATATACATACATATATCATAATAAATACAATTAGCGGTACGTGTCTGTAAGAAAAAAAGCAGCTGAGCCGAAAAATGATGGGCTGGCTCTTGTATTACTACGGTGAATAGGGCAATGAAAGGAAGACCACATGCATAGGCGCTGCGCCCTATACGTACGGGACCGAAGAAAGGTGAATGACCACTAGAAACTGTTGGAGTGATCCCCTAAGTGTACTACAAATGCTTATGGATATTCTGCTTGATTTGTTCGTGGTCAGTTGAACTTTCAAGATCCCAAAGCACACCGGACAAAGCGTGTGTGTAATAGATTGCAAACTTGGGGAACCGGCCCTCTCGAACCCAAAGCCGGTCTAGTGTCACTCACCACTACGACTACTGCAATAAAGAGTACGGTACCAAACGCCTCGAGAAGATTCTTGGCGCCCTAAGCCTAACGCAACGAGCATTGCTCAGAATACGGTGTAAATTACTGAGTTTTGATGAGTTTTTTGCTTTGATAGATGCGCGAGGATTGGGAGGATTAAAGACAAGTACAATTTCATCGTAAAAACAAAGTAATTTTAGAAAAACTTACCGTTCATGAACGAGCTGCAGGGCAACACAAACCGGCGATGCACACAGAACTTGGCTTGTTAGATGACCGCTTCACAAGCAGATCTTTAGCTGGACGCTCTTTTATGAGAAACATTATAAAATGACGTTTTCCGATTCAAGAATTATAAAGTTTTGCTGCTGCTTAAAGCGAGATACTGTTTGACGATAAATTTAGGACAAAATTCAACAAAAGAATTATAAAAATACCAACACACAAATGACAGCTACCTGGCGGAGCGATACTAGTGCTAAAGTCAACTGCGTCGATTAGTCATTCTGTAAAAAACTAGTCTTAAATATTCGTTTTTAAGTGCTGTAGTTTAAGTAATAATTATGCTGGCATACGATCTCGCTATTTGACAAAAATTTCACTAAAAAATAAGCAGCGTGACGTCACTACATCGCCATATTGCAGGGCCTCTTTGCAGAACCAGCTTGCTAACGCTCTGCCACCAGGGGCCGCCACTTTCTACGAGGTGAACAGCTGCTGAACGACCGAGCTCAACCCCCACCCAAAATATTTGACTGAGGCCGCTGTAGGCCGTCATGATCTTTGTGAAGTGTCTGTGAAGTGCTCTCGTAACGGATATACGGTGCCCTATAACTGTACTATGTGATCCCTCGGCCAAGGTAAGCTAGATTGTGATCGACCTCGATGGCTAGGACGAGAAAGCCTTGAAAAATCACGTCAAAAAAAAAGCAGACGTGGTATAATGCTGTTAACCATACAGATTGCTCGGTGGCTTGCTGGATGGTTGGCTGGCTGGTGCATCATCCGAACGAGATTTTGCCCAGTCTACAGCGGCCTGTGGTAAGCGCTGTACGAGCTTCGCGTGTTTATCCATTGGAAGCCTCTAATACGCTGGTGTGATCCTTCGCGGCCGAAGACCTCTGAAATATTCGTCTTTTAGTGTTTTGGCCTATGGGCTAAAGTTAAGGGGTCCATCGGCATGAGCGTTAAGGTTTCATTATCGTTCAGTATCTGATCCGTTTTGCACATAGATGATTTTAACGTTACGTTCAATGGAACGGAGTTGGTTGATCAAAGTCGCAGCATGGTAACTAATTGACGGAGGTTTCATCATGGCATCGCAGCATTACAGCTAGACGTGCTGTGGGTGCTCAGTAGCTTGCTGTGATCTAGCGATGCTGTTCGTGCTTATCTGATCTGCTGGGAAGTCTGCAAAATACGACATGAATGTTAATGGTGACTCGGGTAGTACGGGCTTGAGGGGCAGTTGGTTTTTTCCTAACAGCATGATGGAAAGGATTGTATAATAGCCGTTAGCAGCTTGTGTTATCATGTGTGCAGTATCGATATTTTCGGGAAGGATTGCGCTTTCAGTCTATGGGTATATTGGTATCTTACGAGGTAGAACTGAAGCGAGCGGATATTCATTAGATGTTCGCTAGCATTGATGATCGTAGTGGCACGCTCGAGATTGCAGCTCTTAGGTAGTGTTATTTCTCGTGTCAAGATAATGTTATTAGCAGTGTGCTTATAGCCGAAATGTGCGTGCTCAAAGTACGCAGAGAGCTTAACGGGTGTACCATCGCAGGCTAATTGTTGGGCGTGTGACGGAGGAAACAAGTGGAATGACTGTGGCTTATTCAGCAGTGTATAGTTAGTGAACATGCGATATGGCGAGGGATGTTCGCCAGCCTGTGTGAAATAATATTGCTGTGACTGTGCCTTTGATCTCGTGTAAAACTCGAAATGATAAAGCACAACCGCTGCCAGATAGCCACCAGTAGTAAAATGTATCCTTGATATTATCCTGTCAACAAAGTGTGTCGAGCTCAAATCCGCTAATCTTCATTCTGAATGATGTTAAGATCATACAGGGACACATGGAAGAACTCAGAGCTACTATGGTACAAAGAAATTGCATTGAGTGGACATCCTGTTCACGCTACCGATAGCAAAATTGGTTCAAATACCAGCTGATTCTTCTAGTTTAGTATGATGGCGTATCGCGTGTAATGATATTGTTACCTGACTACTGCTATAAAGCCTGTGACAGCTGCTGCTGCGTAAACTGTATATCTTCATAATCCGCGATGCTGATGATTATTGTCGGGTGATGCGCGTGAATATTCTTATGTGTCGAAAAAGAGACCCATGAATAGAGCGGCATTGAATGGAAAATAAGATAGTTGGGATGCCAACGGTGAGCGTGAAACTAGCCTTTTTACGTTGGTCATCTTTGAAGGTTTCTCTGGAAGTCAACAAAGAATCGTAGTAAGTGCGCCATTTTGGCATCTGCCGATATTGCTTCTGCTGTTAAATGGACCACGACGAAGATGGCCGACAATAGTTTTTCATTCGACAGTACCGAATACATTAAAAGATCAATGTTTAAGATAGCTGTACCAGCGCTAATGACAGATCAAATGCGACTTCCCTGTTGTGAAGACTGGCCTCGGCACTACACAGCGTGTTGTTGATGACAAATCAAGATCAGATGTTAGATGATCGGCTTTTGATTGTTCACTAGCGGACAAGAATAGGGATGTCCTTTCGCTACCTAATTGTGTATGGTTCGTATGCCCAGCTTCAGATCATAAAATTACCCCTTGCTGTAACAGTTTTGCTAGCACACTGAATCGAATCGACAAGAACAAATCGAACGATCACAATAGCGATGTAATCATTGCGGCGGTAGAAAGAGTTGTGGATTCTTGGAATTTTACGTACGAGTATTTGTATCGCATGTGTTCCCCAGTAGTTAGTTCACCGTATTGCTAATAAGCGTTATTATGTTGCTTAAAGCACTAGAACCGCTATCATAATTCTCAAATTTTGTAGCCTTAAAGCTTCATTCCCAATAACCAAATCTTAATGGACATAGAGCTTTGAAATACCGAAACTGTATTCTAATCACTACCGATGAAGCTATTCTACCTCATTATGTACACATGTTCCGTAATTAACCCGTTATTCCTTCCCTAAGCTTTTTGTTTATAAGAATATTTTACCTAATCTATTTAACTTTCTCCACCTGTAGGCAGACAGGCTGAGAGGAGAATGATTTCTGTCAGCACGCGACAAGAATAAGGACAGCAACCATCAAAACAGCAGCAGAGCGTCTACCAGCTCTCTCAAATCGTAATCCAGTTGCTCCAGGAAATTGCCGGCGGTGTCAGGAGCAGTAGCGGCTGAGCAGCTGGGTAACAGACTTCGTCGCGCACTATTGCATTCCTATGTTGCAGTATAAATGCCACATTGCGTTGCCAATGGTTTCTCAGAATCAGTTGTTGCAGTAATTGCGACTTCCACGACGAATTGTTTGTTTACATTGGTGAGAGGGGCGGCAATTGAAGCAAGTTTGCTGGTATCATTGGTCATGCAAATTTAACCTATCATCTCAACTTGCGTCATATTGATTTGGTGCCTTGTGACCTGGCGACATGGCTTTGTCAAGTACTGGTTACTACTGTTGTTGGCCATCAGGCAGGGGATGACTGCTCCCAGAATGTAATTGCCATCCAGTTTATATCCTAGCTAGTACACTCAATGGTTGCTAAAGACTCTAGACGTGGGCCACGAGTCAGCCGTTTGGGTGGAGGCCTGGCTTGTGAAACGTCCCAGTTGAAAGAATCTCTTCCAGCGGTGACTCCTTCTGATCACCGTATTAAGAGGTCGAATATGCTGATATAATTAAATAGCTAGTGACTCCTTTTACCTAGCTTCTGTCGAATACAATCAGCGTTAATATTTATACTTATCGTGCTAATTCGTTTTTGTCGGGTATTAGCTGTGGTTAATTATGAGTAATAACTTTTTTATGTGGAAGTACACAACGTTCCCCCTTGTCTGCGTGTCAAGATCGTTATAGACTCCGCAAGCTTGTAACACCTCCGAAGGTTGTGTTATGATATGACCATAGTTTATTTAGGTATAAGTCAACGTAACTACAACTATTCGCCGCTGTGTCGAGATGTTGTCGCCTATGGCATCATGAACGTAATCGTTGACCGCCCAGCGATCTTCGAATGCTGCTAACTTAACTTTTCGTGTAAGCGTATATCTCACACGAAATCTATGCAAGGAAGGAAACGCTTTGCATGTTATATTATTTAGCTACACTAAGAAAAGAAGCCGGTCGCACCAATTTAGCCATTTAGTTATAGATAATCATAGTTTTGTTACCCGGACGTTATCCTCTGCCATCTTAAAACATCAGCTAAATTACTACGGCAAGAGCGCATTTAAGGAGCGCATTACGGTTATCGCTGTACAAATATATCCACCAAGACTTCTAGTGAGAGGAAATAACCAGATAAACCACTTGATGACGGATAGATACGATATCTATATGAGCGCAAGCATCGTCGATACTTCGGTGTTACGTCTTTGTTGTTGTACCTTAAATTCCGCAGTTTGCCAGGCTCATTGCTACAGGAACTGTCGTCACTCTCGGAGAGTACTGTGAGTAGAGAGAGGAATATGTCGAAGTTGATGCACGTTTGTATATCGAATATTTTTTAACGGTCAAGTCATCTATTTGGAGCCCCTTATAGAATTTTGCAGAAATGAGTTATAAAAAAAAGTCACTAGGACATTAGTAGAAAATATAAAACCGAAAACAAAACCTTAAAACATATCATACTGCTCCGTAGGGTTAATTAGTGGTCATGCTGATAATACTATCAATGCAATTGCTTCATTTTGTCGCTATTGCCGCGTTATGGCCCCTTGTCAAAAAAAAGACAAGCTACAGTACGCTTGCGCGTGAAATCGAGCAACGGTTTGTAATTACCACTTGTTTTTGGCTTGCATTACTACTACCACCAGCAAAAGAACTATTTACAGGTATATGTACATGCCAAGAAAAGCATACAATCAAAGCGGCTTGGTGGCCGTGTTCTGTTGCAAACGGTTTTTGCGTTTTGACCTCGCGAATCTACCAAATGCTCGGACTATCGCCCACGCGTATTACAAGCGCATGGTATAGATCAGACGCGCATCACGGATGCCTATGCAGTTGCGACTGCTCTGTAATGTTGTAGCGTGGCAGTTGAATAGGAGTTAAACATGTCAGTCGATTCGGGACAAGCATTATAACGGAATATAATATATATGTGCATGTTTGATATAGTGGCTTATCGATTCGATTAGAGAAAAAAGCTGAAGAGTCGCCGCAGACTTGAGAACTGGAAATGGGCCAGTTGTCGTGTGCGTTCCGTATAGCTCTGTTACAAACAATAAACATGGGAAATAATAGCCGTAGGCATACTAATAAAATATACTTCATAGGGCTGACGACTCATAGAACCCGTCCCTAGGCACTATCGTACGCTCGTGGTGTACAATGTACTCAATAATAGTATCCAATCAATTATATATATGTATATATATAATTTATTTATTTTATCATATAAAATAAAGACTCACGATAGTAATATTAGTGCGTAGCTATCGTAATATAGTGACAATAATATCGAGATATCGTCTTCGTGGCCAGAGGCTCAGTTCGTCTGCTTCACATCGCGCGGCGATCATCGTAGTTGCGCTGTAGTATTATTGTGTGGCTATTCTTGGTCGGGTGGGTCAAAATGATGATCCTTCTATACATATCATTTGATGGTTCGCTTTTGCTACCAGTAACGCTATTCTTTGTTGTATCTATATGATGCGTTTCCTCTGCTTAGTTTTCTAGACGCACCCGAATATGAGATCCGTTGCGAGTAGCGGCGTCCCATTTGCTAAATAAATACAGTTCCTTTTGCGTCGCGGTTTCTATCCCATGGTTCGGCGTTCTAGATAGGTGTCGCGTTATGTTGAGTGTCGAAACAACAGTATATGGCCAACTAGGAAGTCGAACCAAAATGGTGTAGGAGAAGATAGGGACGGAAACGGTTAAAACAGGCTCGTTTGTAGGGGACAGTTCTTTAACTTATGTGCTGAGCTTTTCTGTTCTTAAGGGAACTACAAAATCTTCATATATTACAGCCACCGTAATAATATACTTGTAATAGTTGAATCGTATTGCCGTTTTGCGTTTGCTTCTTATTCAGTAATTCAATCACTCGTGCGCAGGAAAAGTTTACGGGCGGCCTAGGGAAGGAATGGTGATATAAGCAAGTCATTGCTTACATGAAGTATAGCGCCGGCTGTTTATAGTAAATGTGACTCTGTCGGTTCTCATTTTTGCTGCTATTGTTGTCAGCACAATCGACTATAGCGACCACGTGTATTATCAAGAAGCACTAAACAGCTTTCGGTTAAGCATTAGTAGTCATGTGCGAAAGGCATATCTGTTGCCACGAATGCGAACTGGAATATGCGTTCCTTCCGAGCACACAGTTGGTAGTATCTTTTCCCGGCCACACATACAGGAACACTCAAGTGCTCCTCAGTTCTATCCCATTTGGTTTTGTTTCGTGCTTAAGCCCAGTCATAGTGGGTGTCTCTACTTTGTTGGCTTAAAAATAATACTCTGCACTCAACGACAAAACAGCGATTCTTTTCTCTGCCGCGATGTTATCCCAGGATAGGATAGTAGTTGACGTATTTGCATGCTAATTTAAAAATATATGGTAGTCTAGGATCGAATCGGGGCACGGATACACTTCATTTTGTGCTGGAGTGAGCCAGCCATCTGAAGCAGTGCTTAACGGATAACATACCGGACACAAAACTCGAAACATCTCTCGGCCGCAATACACGCTGAATATTTAATTACACAATGATATGCTCCATGGCTTTTTGTATTATTCCAAAGCAAGGCCGTCTTGTAGCGAAGATGAGATAAAGACAGAATCGGCCAAAACAAAGTAGACGACGTGACCACCCTAATAATAATAACGATAACAGTAATACAGTTATTATAGCGCGAAACACGTTCATTCATGGATCAATGAGTGGCCACTGCAAACTATTCACTACAACCCCGGACATCAGAAATTTCACCTTAATCTTTTGCAGCTGCTATTAATGTAACATTTTAAGCAGCAGATTTAACCATTTTTCATAGAATAAATGCCTTTTATTTCATACGCCTCTAAGACCTTTGTAATATAACTGTTTCATCGACGGTTCGAATGTTCGCTCTGGTGCTATTCGTGTTTTACCTCTGGCAACTATGCAGCCTCGTATAGGCTAGAGAGTCTGAGAGAATCCAGCGTCAGTCATACTCACCTTCATTTTTGTCGTTCTCGTCATTGGCGCGGCTGTTCCGTGGTTGTTTTTTCATTTTTTTCGCTTCTATTTAGCCATGGCGTGATGTTGTGGCCAGTGGTGGTTCGTTGATGGCGGTTAGTTGGCGTCGAGGTAATCGGCCGGCATAGTTGTCGCCTCAACGCCCGGCGTTGCTTCTGTCGCCAAATCGGCACCGTAAGCACTACTGACACTTCTTGAAAATTTATTACGTACTATTTTCGTATTGAAAGGAAACTAGCGAGTGAAATTGGGCGTGGAGACAACAGGGACTGGATGCCTACGATTACAGTAGCTGCAAAAGCAGTTCGGTTCCTTGTGACACATTGACCTGGGTGAAGCTAAGTAAATTTGGAGTTCTGCCTTAAATCGTCGCGTTTTTCACCCAAGCGATCTTGCAGAGCTTTTTTTTTTCTCTACTTTACATGTAGAGTCTATATGTACAATTTGGACTGGCCTCTTACCTTAGACCACGCGCCCATGCGAGATGCGAGGAGAACGAAAAGGTGTGGGCGCAGTAAATTCAATGACAATACACATAACGTTATGATGTTTCTCATATTTTGTACCATATGAAAAGTTGGACGGCTGTTTGAGGGTCTCCAGGTTTCAAGTTAACGTTCATAAAACATAAAGCGATCAAATCGCATAACTGCCTTAGACAGCGGGATGTAGACTGTATGATTTGCGGTATAATGTGCTTATGTTAAATGTCAAAAAAACACCGAGAAGATCTTTACTTACATTTAAGAACTTTACCCGTTACTCGGTTTTCCCGGACAAATGTCCGCGACGAAAGACGATGTAACTGGACAGTCCGCGTGGATAAAAGGAATTTTCCAATGCGACACGAGTTTATTTACATGGGTATTACCTTGGTTGACAACAGTTCGCTAACCTTAGTTTGCCTGCTATTTGTCTGATCCGGTGTACTGACCATTATGCGACTGCATACAAAATATCAACGAGCATCCGCAAAATGGCGATCGGTACTAAGGGCGGGAAAATTGAAATTATAGTGATATAAGCCGAACGAGGAGTATTTCGTTATTAACGTTTGGCTTACTGGTAGAGAGCTATGAGTGTATATATATAAATACGCTGACTACGAACAAGGTGAACATTCGACTGGGTTTTCATGCAGTAGATACTGCCGTAAATGCATCTAAAGATTTGTGCACTATCAATTTCTGTTAAATTTATCACTACTGTGCAACAATGTTACTGCTGTAATATTTACTTGAAAGTACGGCTATATTTGTGGTGCCACCGTAGCTTTTTATGTTCTCTTGGCAATTTAATAAAACTCTTGCAATTATCTTCTAGCCATGCTGTTACCCTCGAACTGATCTTTTGTATATAAGAGTGCAAACCAAGTCAAAATATGCACTACTTAGCCTCTTTTCTTGTGTAAGATACGTACTGCAATCAACAGTCGTAACATCTAGTTCTTGAAATTTTCTTTTTAATTATCTTTACTAAGTAATCCGATAGTGCTTGTAGAATCTATAGGGGAAACCATAATTTTCCTTAATACAATAGTTTTTTCCCGTAATAGCGCAACGGATAACGTATTCACGGGGTATATTCAGAGACACATGGTAGTTTCAAGTTGGAATGCAGGCGTAAACTTATTTCGTTTTGCGCTGGAAGCCAGTCGTCGGAATTAATGCCCAGTTGCTTAAATATCAGACGTAAGATATGACAAGACACCTTGCAGTACAACAGAGGAGAAAACCGCTCTTCAACTACTTTTTTTTTTTACTATATCTATAGCATTTCTTACCTACCAAAAGCAAAATAAACGAACGCAACCCGTGGGATCCTCTTCGCCAGGTAGTACCGCCTGATCTTCTTGTGAGAACTGAGTTAGAGACAATATTACGTAAAGAGAAAAAAAAACACTATATCGAAAGTACGAATAGGCTGCCTTTGTATTACGGGTGGCCTGGTGAAGCACGGTGAAACCCCAGTTAAGTAAAGTAGGCTATCACAGGGATAAAAAGCACTGGCTTAACCGTGCTCGTATCGACGGCATCTCATTGCTATTGCTACCAGTACATCGATGCTGCTATTATTGCTATTGTTGTGTTCACATAAACCTTTCGTACTGATTTTTGTTGCCACCGCAAAAGTCACTGTAAATTGACGGAGTGTGCAATGTTGTTGCATTTGTGAATCGCCAGAGCGACACTGATATCCCCATTCTTTAAGAGCGTACAGTTATCCTTGCCTGTTTTGCTGTCTATTTGCAATTGATGGGCTTATCCTAATAACCGCTTGAGCGTTTGTTCGTTTACAGAAAAAGCTTTTCTGTTCCGGTTTTCGCAATACCGCGCGGTTTCAACCGGAAAAGAAGCTGTTGTGCGGAACAAGTTGAGGCGGTCTAACGTTTTGTATTTTACAAACGATCGTATTATTATTTTTATTTTCGTATTTTTTAACACATAGGGCATGTCAATCTGTCACCAACACGCTAGTTACCAACACGTACACTTCATTGAATGTGTACGTTTCTAAACACCGAAATCATTCACATAATTTTTTTCAACTTTCCCGCAAAACCACACACCGATCATAGCATCGTCAATTGTCGCAGATTTTAACTCTTTTAAAAAAAAAGTACAGCGCTAAGTAAAACATAAGTGCTCAGAAAGGTGACCAAAGGTACGGGTCGCTCATTCATTCACGACAGCAGACGAACTACTTTGTCGCCCTTGGTGTACCGATGGCAGATTCTACCACAGTGCCTGTACCACCTATTATTATTATTATTATGACTAGAACGAGTCCGCCAGCCGTTTGAGGCGTTCATCCGTGTATTTGCCGGTTGCTGCTAGCGGTGAAGTGAACTGCTATGTCTTCTGGTTGGGCAGATCATAACTGAGTTACGGGTTGCAGCGACAATAAGGCATGCGAGTCCCCAATAGGTTTCTGATGTTGATGCAAACGTGCAGTTTCCGTTCGCTCACTTTTCTTTCTGTGACAGCGGTAACGGTCTTGCTGCATTTGTAATAGCTGACGACTAACTGACCAAGCAAGCAAGGTAGCTATAACCAGCCAGATAACAGGGCTAGTATCATATTGAATGTTCAAAATTACTCGTTATGCCGTGCTACCGCCAATAGTTACTAGCTTTTAACTGATAGGGTTATTTAAGCTCCTCGTGGTAGCTTAGTGGGTAACGTATTTGCCTGCTAATCTTAGGACACATTGTGGCCTAGGGTCGAACCTGGCCATAGACACACTTCGTCTCATGATGGGAGCCAGCTGTCTCATGGATGCCTAACGGCGATAACAGACGTAAAACTCGAAACACAACAGCTGCTTTAAACATTGTTATTATGTAACATTTACATGAATAACATGACGGTGTTGGTTTTGGTGTCACCTCTGAACTTGCGTCTTTGTGTATAATACTAGATAATAATAATAATAATAATAACAGTATGCATGGTACAACAACGAGTGATAACAGGGAGGTTGTTGGACGAAAAGTTGTAACGAAAACTAGGGATACATTGCGTATGCTAGCAAAATGGCGCACGGAAATACTTCAAGGTATTTCGGACCTAAAGGTTACAAAAGTCCATTCTACATAGTTCGAGTAGTGTAAATGTTTAATGACTGCTAGAGAGGAAGCAGTTTCCTTTGCTGCGCAGACGTCGATTTTTGGGTTCATATAAAAACAGTAAGGGCCGCAAACGAAAACCTAGATCTTCATTAAGTAGATGGCTATTGACGCTCTCACAGAACGAATTAATTCTTTAGCTTTAAGACAAGGTTCTATGTTTGAAAAAAGGTTTGCGTTTTGTCAGCTTCGTAACATCAATGAAACAAGGGTAATAGTGCAGTCTAAGAGATCCAGTGAAGGTATTAAAACCTACATGTATTTCCCGCGTGAATAATGTTATCACTCTTATTTTAAGAATAGGTCCGTTTAGTATGAGTTAAACTGTGGTCCAACTTAGAGTTGTTCGGTCTGTGCTCGCTTTCTTCTGAGCTAAACATTGGCAAGCACTCTAAAGTTGCTGATAAGTTCTCGCTATAGCAGTAGACACACTAGTTTCTCTTAATACCATTGTTACTGTGGAATACTTCTTATTTAAGGTAAATTCTGCTACCTAGCCAAGCTAATAATTATGCAACCCGATGTATAATCAAGTGTGTGTAGATTAAAGGAATACGAGTGTTTGCCGAAATCTAAGTGGCTGGTATATACTCCTAAAATGCTTTCATTTCTTTTTCATAGTACTACGTGATACCTTGCGAACCTTCTCATCTACGTTTTACAACACTGCTGATTCTTTCAAGGCCGTAACATTCCTCTTCAGCGTACCTACATCACAGAAAGAAACAGAATCGGTTAGCTGTTATGGTATCCTGGGTCGCATCAAAACGACGGTCATTGGCTGACAGGGAAGCTAACGGATAAATGCAGTTATTAAAGCTCTTTGAAGTTATTACTGCCTACACACGTGCGTAAACTCTACCGTAATTGACAATAAAATTAGAGAAAAAGAACGGTTTCCTCATCGTTTCTGCGTTATTTCATGGTTTAGTCTCGATCGTATATGCTACTGTGCGCGAGTGACGTTCAGTTCGGATTGGTTCTGTGACTTGTCGTCGACGCTTATTCTTGCTAACATTGCTTATAACCTTCCTAACGAAAACAGAGAGATAATTTCCCCTATTAACCCAATTGCTTCTTACACAGAGCCACAAGTGAACGCCTCTTAAACATCAGTGCGTATGCGACACGCCAGGTTAGATGAATAATTTAAACAACTGCTATCACTAATGGCCCTCAATTTGAGCTCCGCGGATCAATTTGTCGTTTCGATGACTCCCTACTCATTTGAAACAACTATGATCCGTGGACAACTGACTGTGGGCTGTAGACGTTTGCTACAGTCCGTATTTCCTGTAGAGTGTGTCGGATTTGTATTACGGACCATTTTCGCATGTTACTTTACACGAGATTACGCCAATGTGCCACCCAATCTACCATCGCCCCTATCTCGTGTTTAACAAACACATGTTTAGCCACCTCCGCGTTTCATAGCAGAGCGTTACAGTGAACGGCAGAAGGCGGACACAAGAAGCATGCTTGCTTCCGACCGCTGCGGGTACCATCGAACGCCAAGGCATCTGTCATTCGCCATTCAGTAAATCTGCGTGTATCGTTCCCAAAGCACATTCTCATAAAATAAACAGTATGAACATTTACTGTCAAATAACGTCGGTGTGGGAGGCAGTTGATTCGGTTTTATTGCCGCCATGACATAACAATAGCAAGAGCATCAGGGCTGGTAAAGTGTCTTCTCCATCGAATCGCGGCGAACTGGTGATGGTTGCCACGTCGACTGTAGGTGTCGTTGCTGATATCGGTATTTCCTGCTAGTGGTGACGCAAGCCGTTCATTTCTCCTGGTTTAGACCTGTTCTCCTTAATGCAACATTCATTGATGTTATGTAAGCGCTCTTTCAATGTTAGGGGGGTCCGTATATTTTCGTTGTGTTGAGTGTCACGCGCTGGGCCGGTTGGGGCGGAAGACAGCATTCATTTGACGTCGTTAACAGGCCCGACATATACAGACCTATGATAGACAACGAACTGTACCTTCCCTGATTCATCGGCGTAAGGATATGGCAGAGAAAGACTGGCACGCAGGCACATAGTAGCTGGTGGAACGTTACTCTTATCGTTGTAAAATGCTAACGTTTACCCAGACAACGTTCCTCAAGCGAAATAAAACAGGACATGGTTACTATGAATGGCAGCTGCGTTGCCAAGCCGTCTAGTGCTCGCTGGTGAGAGAAACTGATTAGTCACCTCAAGCACAGCGGTCATAGTTTGAGGTAGCTACGCTGGAAATAGGTTTAGACAGCGCCTATCATATGGAAGATGCTAGGTTCAGAGTGATAATCTTCAAATGATGAGTTGGCGGCATTTTTGCGGTTTTTCTCCCCTTGTCGGAAGAAGACCCACGGACGCGAGGAACGAGCATTAGCGCTTTCCTTTGAAAAGAAAGGACAGCTGCTGGTGATAGCGCCGCTGCTGCAGCTGTGCTTGGCGCTTATGGAGTCGCAGTTCTATCATCGGGGCAAAATCCAGTTGACACATCAGTACGTTGGTATTTTTCTATTTTTAAGTGCACCATTTTCTAGGCGGTTGAAACTACAATGAACAGGATTTAAGACATACGAAAGATCGTGCGATGATTAAGTCTGACGCTTTTATGTAATTGGGGGTAAACATATTAAGCAGACGGTAAACAGATATGGCAGAAGTTGAGTGTTGCGAATAACTATATATGTATATCTTATATTAGAAACCTTGAGCAGGGTGCTATTACTGGATGGCATCACAGCAAGTATATGAGACCTGGCAGGGTCTTGGTCCTGTTTAGCGGTAAATATTTGAACATGGCTCTAACATCTCTCTATAAGAACAAAGCGTTCACATATTTATATTGGGGGTTGACGTTTGTTTCGATTGCTATTATTCAGATCATGCTTGAAGCAAAGTGACACAATACAGCGGTTCTACAATAGATAACTGTGAATCAGTGCAGTTTACCTCGCGATATGAGATAAACAAATGGTTTTAGCAATTCATCCAATCAATGCTCTGCGGTTGAGTGTTCTCTTATATAAGAGGAATAGTGTTGTCTGCTTCTGACCGCCATTTTTCTCACGTTTTTATCTTACACGATATCGAAGTATCGTCGATAATAATAACATTTATGTTATTATTTGGATTCACGACGTTAACGTTTAGTCTTTATAACACTTACCAATTGAATAAAGACCGTCAACAGACAAGAGACCAATCCTGATTGGTACTGTTTGACAACGCTGTCGAACCAGGTCTTGTCCAGATGCCCCCGCAGTTACACAGACTTCTTGCGCACGCAAAATCCTTCACCGTACCTAGTTTCGCTCTTTGAACGGAGGGAACTGCACCAGTTGCATGCGGTGCTATTAATCGGTAAAATGTTTGGAAGAGAGTGGGTTGGCAAGCATTAATCGCCTTTACACGTACCTTTGCCAGTTACCACAGTTGTCCCATATGTGTGAGTGAAGACTGTGTAAAATACTGTCCTTCTTCATACAGAAACTTTAACGTAATAAAACTGTATCGGCTAGATGGATTCTGGGTTTTGCCTCCGAGGGTCACTGGAGATGTGACTAGATTGCTGGGGGTTTGTGAAAAATCCGTTCCTAAAAAAAAAGAACAAGGCACAGGAACTTAGGTATGAGAACTCTTCAGCTTGAAATGGACTTTTTTTTGCTAGCGTCTTAATCGAAAAAATATATTAGAATCAAACGAAAAACGAGGAATGTACAGAATCAAAAAATGAATCAGAATATCAACAAGCTTAGGCCATTTTGGTCGTATTTTGTTGTGAAAACCTGATCTGAAGCTGTGATTTCCTGTATAAAACGATGCGGCAACACCTGTGTTTCTGCTGTTTCGAGACAAATATTTCCAAACAGTAGTGGTGACAGCCATTGAACATTTTTTTATACTTAATTAGCTACTTAAACTTAGATGAGGATTCTGATATAATTACGAACGTTGTTATCTCGATGACCATTTACGGCATTGCGATAAAATCAGGCTCAGCCAGGTGTTTAGGAAATATAAGAGCTAATAGCCTGATTCCCATTACAAAGTCATTGCTGAACTGGAGTGTATGCTAATAATTTGGTGTCCTTTTTACTGAACCAAGATAGTTCCCCTATTGAGAGAAGTTTTTTAATAATTCGCCAATGTTAACGGGAATATATGTCCATATACCCATGTTCAATATACGCTTTGTGCACCTGTATACTAACTTCGGCAAGTTGGTCGAAGATACCAGAATAGTTAATCCTTTGTGCTTATTAGCTCGTATGTGTTGTGAGTCGTAAAGCACTCCGAACGCTAAGCAACATTGATTTTGATGGACAGTAATAGTCTTCGCGTCGTCATCGTGGCTGGGAAGCTCGAGATAGTCTTGCATGAACAGAATGGGGTACGAACTTGGTGGTGAAGGCGCTTAATTATAACGATGATCCTGATGTTAGAAAAAAAATTTGACTCAGTGCATACGAAAGTCTGTTCATTCCACAAGTATTCACCTAACGTCCTTATGAGGCTGCTGGCTGAGAAGGTTATGAGAACTATTAATAAGTTATCTGTGAAAAGTCAAACAAACTCAGTCACACAGGATTTAGAAAAATAAACGCGCACATAGATCCGGCAGGAAAGTCTAACGGAATTTAGCTAACATAAACAAGACCTTCTGTTGGGTCTTGCTACTCTTCGCTGGATCTCATTGTCGGAACATCACCGCGTCTGCTTCTTCCTAATCTGTCTACTAGGTGAACAGAGAAGCGACTCGAGCCTACGTGAGATTTCCATCCGCTTTCGATCGTTAGCCTACAGGGGCATCCGCGCACTACATTGTAGATTGGGCTAGTTAAGTGGGAAACCTGGACGTGAATGTAGGTAAGAAGAAAAGGTAAACTCGTGTTCGCAATGCATTAATAGTAAGATAAGTTAGTTAAGATACGCCTACCTAATCTGCCGAGAAATGATTTAGGCAATCCTCATCAGCCTCTGCTGATTCTAAGTAATAGTAAATCGCATCATAAATTACTATATCATGAGCGTAGTGGAAGGCAAGTTACAATGGAGTATATATTGGCTATAATAGCGAATAATTCAAAGTTGGAAAAGTGTGCTAGGACGATCATAATAAGCATACCGTTATATGCATATACGGACTCGAGATGCTAATACAAATAGAAGAACACAAATGAAATGCTGGTATAGGCTAATGATAATATAAAATTGTCAAGTTATATAACTCAAGCTGTAACAGTTCCTAGATTGTGGTGAACATGACCCGAAACTAACTAAAAGTGCAAGAGGTCGCTCCGTAAAATTAAATGGAGGATGCTTAAAGCTTGAGTTATGGCAAGTGTTTAAATATGAGGAAAGCTTGTCTATGCGAAGTAACGAAAGCTCAGTGCAGCGACATCGTTCAGACATGCATATGGAGACTTCCACGTTCTAATGTTATCTAGTCCTAGATCAGGTTCAACTATTGAATGGGCTTGTGGGTGACGATGTCATCAAGTGGATCCTACTCCTTTATTTCTTAATTCTGAAAGACTATACAATATTTTCGTCATCTTAGAGCCTTACGACAATCAATTTATGAATTCTTGAAGAATAATGGTCATCTTGGTACCCCAAATAAGCCTCTATTTGAAAGTACAGATTAATTATTTTTCAAAAAAACTTTGATGACCTAAGGTAGAAAGGACCAGCAGAACCTATTACTGCAGATTGTCAGGTTCCTGGCTGTCTCTTATCGACGAACCCTTTCGTGACCATAGACAAAATAGGATACTAAAATTAAGTCGCATGGTGCTGCGGTGCACTACGTTAACGGAAGAAGATCGCCATCTAACCATGTGTA